GAGAGTATTTCTTGGTGGCAAAATGAAAGACAAATTACAAGGTGCCTAAAATTTTAGGACTTTTAAGTTTATATAGTGGAGACTCTAAAACCCTTCTTCTTTCCGTCCCCAAGATTTCGGCTTCAAAACTCGGCGTTTCACTTAGTCTTGATATGTCTTGACTAAAGTCAACTCCCTTCTTGGTCAAGGAAAGCTTACAAGGCGAGAATCGGGTTTCCTGATCCTGGTTGACATCCTGGTTGCTCTCTGCTTTGACGTCTCCAACACTCCATAATCCCAATTGGCTCCAAAGCTCCCCAAAGTACCTGATTTAGACTCAAAATGTAATGTGTATGCAATGCAAGTGCCAAAAGAGGCTACAAGTGTATAGATAGAGATATGTGGACTAAATGTATGCAAATGCGACTTAAATGGTGTAAACATGCATGTAAAAGTATGCTAAAATGTGTAATATATGGATATATCAACAGGGTAGGTCGAGTTTTCACCCAGAAACGCATACCTGAGGCCCTTGGGCAAAGGTTTGAGGTCCACCTTAGGTGCCTTGAGTTCAAACCAATCTCCTTGAGCTTGTTCCTTTCATCCGATGTCTAGCTCGATCGAGCTTGCTTGTTCATTCCCTGACTCGATCGAGTTCTCGGTCGAGCTCACTGCCAGAACTTCACAAAGCGGTTCGTCTAACTCCACAATGCAAAAGATGTTCGGAACCGGTCTGAAAGTGTCAAGGAGCCTAGAATACTCCTCAGTTTCTGAATGTAGATACCCTTCAGATTGATCCATGGTGAGAGCAACTTGCAAGTGATCTTCCAAAGACACTTCCTCCAAAAGTTCATCCGCCAACTGATCCATTTCTTCAATGTAAAAGAGTTGACCTTCTATTGTTGGCTTCCTCATTGTATCCTTGATGTCAAACTTCATCTTTAGGTCTTTTCCAAGGTTCAGTTCTATTGTACCTTCACAGACATCTATCATTGCTCTTGTTGTAGCTAAGAAAGGTCTCCCTAGTATCAAAGGGTCTGTTGGTTATTCATCCATTTCAAGCACAATGAAGTCAGTGGGGATTTCAACATTCCCTATCCTCAAACGTAGATCTTCAAGCATCCCAGTAGGCAGCCTTATTGATCTATCCGCACAAACAAGTGAGATTCCGCAGGCTTGATACTTGTGATAGCCCAATCTCTTCGCCACTGGCAGAGGCATAAGGCTGACTGATGATCCTTGGTCGCAGAGGCTGTTCTTCAAGGATAGAGGTCCTAGCATGCAAAGCAATGTAAAAATCCCCAGATCTTCCTTTTTGTCGGAGATAACCTTTCGTTGAAAGATTGCACTGCATTCACAAGTCAAAATCACCATTCCTTGCACCTCCTTAGTCCTTTGAAGTACAACATCCTTCTGGAACTTCTGGTAGGGTGGAATGAGCATTCGACAACAGATTCAGATGTAGGTCTCAGTTTTCCAGATGCCGTGTTTTAAACTTAATCCCTTGGAGGATTGAAATCATCTTATTCTTCCTAATCGCTTACCAAATTTGATTTGGTTTGTTTTGTAGGTGTCCTAATCTTGAGGTACTTTGTGTTAAGTATAGCCCAAAAGTTACAAATTAAGTCGATGAACTTGATAGCCTGAAACTGTCATAAACTTAAGGAACTTGATATAGCTCTTATGAAATATCTTGCCTGTGTATCGAAATGGTGGCTAAGAATTGCAAGAATCTTGAGATTCTAAAACGGAATATGATGGATCCTTGCGAGGTCGAGAGATTAGAGTACACGAGGTTCGTGCCTCAGAACTATTTGGATAACAACCCTATCGACATTTATAGGAATGTTGATGCTCATACAATTGTGAAACACATGCGACATCTGAATCTGAAGCACTTGGAACTTCGATTCTCCACATTGACTGATAAAGCTTTTGACAGACTTTGTAAAGCTTGCTCGAGTCTAGAATATCTTGACTTGTTCGGGTGTAAAAACTTAACTAGCGATGGTGTGTCTAACAGTACCTCGCGCTTGAAGAATTTGAAGAAGCTCAAGAAACCAAATTTTACAGCTATATAATACTTCGACTGAATTCATTTGTTTTGTGCTATACGTATCTTTTTTCCTTTGGTTATATTCAGTAAAGTCTGTTAAGCTGTTTTGGCACTCACTCGTCCCTAAGTTTAAGGAAGTTTTCACAAGCTTGTTCCTCATCGAATGGTTGAACGTCCTAAGTTTATAGTTGAGATTTGTAAACGTCCTAAAATGGTTGAACGTCGAATCATTTATCGGCTTAAAAGTCCACAGAGATTTGACTTTTCACCTTGAGGCGAAGATTATTCGTAAGTTCTTACTTGAAAGGATCAAAACGACCAAGCTCTCTAACTATCGTAGTCAATTAGTTCTTCTGCGTTGTCCATCAGATGGGACAACCAGATTTCGTTGTCCATCAGATCAAGCAAATTCCAACATGATGGGATCAAGGTGTTTCAAAAATAAAACATGATGGGATGGGGTCCATCCGTACTCGGCCCTAACTGGACTGAGTTGACTCTGGAATGTCTGCTGAATCTAAGATAACACTAGTAAAGACGGGATACCAAAGATGTGAGTTTAAGGAACTGGGTGCTTGATTAACTCGAAGAATATCAAAGATGTTACAAAGGAAGTGGTCTCGTCAACAGGCCTGACGAGACGAACAATAGCGAACAAGAGGAAAAACAAGGAGAGTTCTAATGCCTAGATTTCTTTTAGCTGAATTGCTGGTGATTCTGAATGATTCCCGGATATGCTGGATGCCTTTCCACGAATGGAGAGTCTTTATTATATAGTGTTGATAGGTCGGCTTCTTGATGAATATTTTCCTTCCGGCGAGATGGAAAACTTCCTCTTTTGCGATATGGAAAACTTCCTCTTGTTCTCGATTTCCTTCCATTCCTCAAGTCAGCATGAGACTTTGTTTACATTTCCTCATGGATTGTGCCTTTCTTCTCAAGTCTTGCCATATTGTTGAGGAGGTTAGGGCTAAAGTCGGATTGGGCTTTATGATTTTACTAATGGTGACGGGCTCAAGGAAATGTGCTAATTTCACCTCTAACAATGTTTCATCGACATATTCTCACGGCTGAGCATGGAGCAAAGATCCACCGGACCATTTCTGGTCTGCAAGACGTGGATGGACGTGTGCAAAAGACCCGTCGTTCAGCTTGGTCTTCGATCTGGAAGATAAATTTCTGTCTCTCCCTAATTCGAACAGCTGGTTGTGGGGTCCAGAATTCGAGGATGGCACTGTACGGATCGGTCGATCTCATATGTTGCTGAGAGGTACGTCACATTTTCGATATGCCCTGTTTTACAATTTATCCCATGGAAGATTGAATTGATTAGATTTGGTTTGTTTTGTAGGTGTCCTAATCTTGAGGTACTTTGTGTTAAGTATAGCCCAAAAGTTACGGATAAGTCGATGTGGGAGATAGCCATAAACTGCCCTAGCCTTAAGGAACTTGATATAAGCTGCTGTTACAAAATATCTAGTGAGTGTATCAAAATGGTGGTATGAATTGCAAGAACCTTGAGATTCTAAAACGGAATATGATGGATCCTTGCGAGGTGGAGAGGTTAGAGCACACGAGGCTCGTGCCTCATACCTATGTGGAGAAAACTGCTATCTACATTTATGGGAATGCTGATGATCATACAATTGGGAGACACATGCGACAGCTGAAGCATCTGGAACTTCGATTCTCCCCAATGAACGATAAAGGTCTTTCCTTTCTTTGTAAAACTTGTTCGAATCTAGAGTATCTTGACTTGTTCGGGTGTAAATACTTGACTAGCGTTGGTGTTACTAACAGTATCTCACGTCTCACGTCTCAAGAATTTGAAGGTTATCAAGAATCCAAGATTTACAAATTTGTAATAATATAGTACTTTGATTGAATTCTTTTTTATACACAAAAGGCGTTTATATTCCCATAGTACTTTGATTGAATTCATATATATTCTAGTGTGTTATACCGTAAGTATTTTTTTTTCCTTTTTATACATTTAAGTGCTGTCTTTGTTTCGTTTTTTTAATGGTTTTCTGAATTTTTTATGTGATTAGTTTTATATTTGACAACAGCGGTAAAAGACAAATTCAAAAACAAAAAAAAAGAACAAAAAACTTGGTGAGGATCTTATTATCGATCTTATACTATTTGTTTAAAAATATCCTTTTAGAATATAAGTTATTTTTTTTTTAAATATTGTTACAACAAAGCAAAGGATGTTTGTGTTGTGTCCTGTCCCAAAACAGAGAAGGCCTATGAGCCTCAAGGCCCCATCATCAACTTACTGCAACGTTAAGATCAGTCACTCTTGCCGAAGATCAAGCCAGTTTTCACAAGCTACTTCGTCATCATAGAAGGCAGAGCGAATCATCTTCTGGATAACTGATTCTGCTTTCTCTGTCTCCTTTGTCAAACACCTTGCAAAACAACATTTTACAATACTCAAATGCAGAGCCGCTGTAGTGTTAAAAAAAGTGCATTTTCACTAGACCCCCAAGATATATATTTATAAAGGCCCCCAATTAACAAAAACTTATCATATCTTAGTGGTTTCAGTAGTTTCATATGAGGTGCATTACCCGAGTTCAGCTTCCTTCACATTCTTGCTTTTATTATTATTATTTTTTAATTTAAATTTTTAATAAAAAATATTAATATTCAACAGGCCCCTTTTTAAAAATTTCCGTAAGCCCCCCAAATGGCGGTGAGTGACCACAACAGATCATATCCTCCACAATCTTCAGAGCCTCACCATACTTTTGCATCTTGCAGCAACAACCAACAAGTGCAATAAATGAAAGTGCATGGGGTACCGACGCGGACTGTGAATGATACAAAAAGTAGTACAAGCATAAATAGTAGTAAAGACACATAAAGTTTTTTATCGAGGTTCGTTTCCTACGTCCCGGGACCTCAGCCAGAATCCACTAGTACAAGATTGCAATTACTATTGCTATGGTATCTATCACTACAATGCCTACCATTCTCTCCTAGATTGATACACTCAAACAATGCCCTTAACCCTTTGTTTGGTCTTCCTACTAGAACCCCAAAACCTTATGCTAAGGCATCTTCGAATGTATGGGTTGAGCACATCCAATGTTCTCCACGCCCTATTTATCCACAATAGGCACACCTTGAAACCCTACAAGGCTTCTCCTTGGAGATCACTCCAAATCTTCTTGAGAATCTCTTTCCTTATTTTTCTCTAGGAAAAGGAAGTATTCCTAGTTGCTTGATAGCTTCGAATCTCTTCGTCCAACTTAGCTCTTGACTCTTCTAGAATCTTCTAGACTCGCCTCCTCAGCTACAAGCAAATGTCCAGCCCATCAGATCGATTCCTTAAGCACTTTTGCTGAACACGACTCTCTGTACTACTTCTTGACGGATACGCGAAGTCCTTCAGTCAACTGTATCTTCATCTGTGATGACAAGTTCTAAAACTCGGTCATCACTGCATCAACAATCTCTCCCTTGATGATTGAGTTTTAGAATCATGGCATAATCCTTCACGAGTATGATGATCTTCTAACTCTCCCATAATTGTACACCATCGTCATGGCATAACCAATCCCGAGCATGATGATCTTCTAGCTCTCCCTTAATTGCACACCATCGATTTTCTTGATTCCTCCAACACTCTCTCCCTCTTTGACCATGGTTGTGAACTCAGCAATTATAGCTCCATAATAGTTCTCCCCCTGCTTGAGTTCATAATCTGATCAAAGTTAATTGCTGAAGCATCTCCGCTCTTGAGGTTGATGGTCCTTCTTAAAGCGCCATGATGTACTGGGAATTTTCTCTTGGTAACCCTCCATCTTCTCCGAAGGAATCTCCCTTGTTTGCAGCTTTTCAATATGCACAAGAGCCCGCTCCGATACCAATTGAAAGTGCATGGGGGTACTGACGCGGACTGTGAATGATACAAAAAGTAGTACGAGCATAAATAGTAGTAAAGACACATAGAGTTTTTTATCAAGGTTTGTTTCCTACATCCCCGAACCTCGTCCAGAATCCACTAAAACAAGATTGCAATTGCAATTGCTATGGTATCCAGCACTACAATGCGTACCATTCTCTCCTAGATGGATACACTCAAACAATGCCCTTATCCCTTTGTTTGGTCTTCCTACTAGAACCCCAAAACCTTATGCTAAGGCATCTTCGAATGTATGGGTTGAGCACATCCAATGCTCTCCACGCCCTATTTATCCACAATAGGAACGCCTTGAAACCCTACAAGGTTTCTCCTTGGAGATTACTCCAAATCTTCTTAAGAATATCTCTTTCCTTATTTTTCTCTCGGAAAAGGAAATATTCCTAGTTGCTTGATAGCTTCGAATTTCTTCGTCCAACTTAGTTCTTGACTCTTCTAGAATCTTCTAGTCTCGCCTCCTTGATGATAGGATTTTGTGTGGATGTGATATGATATGAATGAAGGATGATAAGATATGAGGTGGAATGCAAACAGGGGTGAATAAGATGAATGGTATGGTGCAATCACAATCAATCAATTCCTCTTAACCATCATAGTCATTGAAGTATAAGAGGTTATCAATCCAAAATGGGAAACTTGTCACTCTATGAGAATATGAAACAACCAGAAGTCAAGCAAGCAGTTAAAGATTTGAAGTAACACTAACAACCTAAAAAAATGAAAAGCAGTGCAATAAAAGTAAACAAAGCAGTGAAGTGTCAGCTCGACCAAGAGCTCGAGTCGAGTCAGAGCAAAGTACCAGCTCGATCGAGTTTAGGGACGAGTTGAGACAAACAAAGCTAAAGGTGACGACTTTAACAAGATAAAGAGAGAATTAGGGTTCAAGACAGGGTTTTGCAATCAAAGGAATCTACACTTAATCAATCTAGCTCTTAAAACTCCTTGTATCAAGGCTTCTCTTGATATTGGGCTTCTCAATGCCTAGCCAACCCTTTCCCAAGGTGGAGGCTATCAACCAAGGAATGATCTCAGAAACAGGGGGTTAGCCAGTGAGAATCAAACCTTGGAGGCTATAGGATCATTGCCCAAACTAATCCATCCAACCCCTTAGACCTCTATTGTCTAGAGCAAGAGATATTGGAGCTCTTAGTGGATCTTTTCCAGCGAATGCCATCACTTTCGTGTGGGGAGTCGCCTAAGGACTTACAAGCCAGGGGTAGTGGTCATGTAGCCTTAAGATCTATCCAAAAGAGAGAGAATCTAGATTAAGACCATAAGCTAGAAGGATTAAGCATATGAAACCTCTAATCTATCCCATCTCAAACCCTAATGGGTAACTACTCACTACACATGAATGTAAACACAAGCAAATGCAATAAAAGAGACATCATAAGAAAGAGGAGATGAAATTAAACAACTTTTATTGAAATAAGCAAGTGCAAATACAAAGAGATTATCCAGGATCTAGGATTCAAGAAGCAAGAGCTTCAAGAACACAAAGATGGGATTAGATCTCTAAAAAGTAAAAGACAATAAATTAAAAGAAACTAAAACAAAATAATCTAAAGCTTGGTGGTTTTTTCGTGGCTTAGAGCCTTTAAATACAAGAGGATTAGGTTTAGGGTCAAAGGAAAGTCAAGGGGGAAGCAACATTTTTCGGGTTTGACTTTGACTTCTCAGCTCGATCGAGTTGAAGCTTGGCCGGTCGAGTTGAGGAACTCGACCGGTTGGTCGAGTAGACGGTCGAGCTGGTCTTCAAGATGGCTTCTCCCTTCTTCCTTTGCGTATCCAGTTGAGCTGCTTCCATGTGCCAAGTCCCTCCATGCTCCTCATGTCCCATATGCTCCAGAATGCTCCAAAAGACCTATTTCAAAGGACCAAACATGCATATGTATGCAAATGCAACCTAAAACTAACATGAATGCATAAGAAGAGAAAAGGAACAAGATATGATGCAAATGGAAGCTAAAACTATGCAAAAGATGCATAAAAGATGTGCTAAAACTATGTAAAATGCAAGTACATCAACACCCCCAAACTTGAACTTTGCTTGCCCTCAAGCAAACAAATAGAACAAGAAAGAGATGAGGTTTGAAAAAAGCTGATTCAACACTTAAAAACATGTCCTCAAAAGCGATTTGCTAAATGTCCAACTTAGAGATTCTAGAATGCAACAAGGTGAGAGATATTCATTAAGATTTAACCATGCTTATCAACATCAATCCCACTTCACAGTCACTCAAACAATGCATTCAAATCAGCAAATCCCTTTAACATTCATTAAGCAAAAACAGTGAACCAAAAACATGCAAGATCAATCAACTCATTTGGTTTCAAGGGTTTATGGGTTAAGAGACAAAGAGGGTCTCTTTTGTATGGTGGTTTAGTAACAGGGATCTCTCAAGAAAGTGGCTTTGCTTTGGCAGAAGGCTAAGTGTTAGAACCAAAGATGATGCAAGAACAGCAGCTCGAGCCGCCTAATCCTAACTCGATCGAGTTCAACACTTAGAGCTTTTTAGAACAAAATCCTAACTACCCTTTTTGGCATTTCGCCTTTGAAACTGAGGAGCTTTGCTCACTTTTCTTTTAAGAACTTCCTAGGGAGAGGCTTCTTGAGGTAACATCTAGCGGTTTGGGATTTTCTAAACACTTAGGGAACTTTTCTTTCCTTTTTGACACTTGAGGCTTTGCCTTCTTTTCATTCTACTTAGAACCCTTTTTACTTTCCTTTTTTAACTTCCCAAACCTTTACTAGACCCTTTTTAACACTGCCAACTCCCTGGACTTAACCTAAACTCTTTTTCCTTTGGGTTTTTCCCAACTTTTACCACTTTTCTGGTTTTTACACCCAACTCGATCGAGCTCGAGTTGGCACCCCCAAACTTAGCCTGAAAACAATCCCAAGAGAACTAGACAACTAGAACTACTGCCCCTGCCGGTTTAAACACAACACCTTATGCTAAGCAAAGCCAAGAAAGGTTCTCACATTCGCACAAGAGATAATATGGGGTTTGAAATGAAAAGGCTTAGGTTTAAGGTGTGGTAACTGTCTCAAAGATAGAGATCAGCTATCTGGACAAGCAAAAGGGATATGAAAATAGGTAAAGAATGTCCAGATATGTATGTGGTAGCCATGAGTTGAAATCAAATGCAAGCATTGGTAATTAAAGATCAAGTTATGGTTCAAATAGATAGGGAAATGCATCAAATCACAGCAATGGTTGAATGAGATGTGCATGCAGCGATATGATCAAGATAAACATGGTTCTTGCTGCTCAATCAATCTCACCCTAATGCACAAAAGAATCTAAAAACAGGGCACTCAAGAAATCGCAAAAGATGGACAAGTTTTCAAAGTCAAATCAACAATGCAAGTGAAAAATGCAATCCTAAACAAGTCTAACAAATATGAATGCAAAAAGATGAAAATATTTTTGGATTTTTTGAAAATTTTATGATTTTTTTGGTTTTTCTATGCAAAAGATAAATGAAAAACTAAGAACAAAGAAAACAAGGTTAAATCATCTCTTGAACCCTCCCCCAAACTTAAATCACACAGTCCCTTGTGTGAGAAAAATTTAGTGAAAGATTCAAGAGGGCAAAACCAAGAAAAAACAAGAACAAATGCAAGAAAATATGAAATGGTATATACAAGGGTTGGTGTTTGGATACCTCAGTGCCCCCCAAAGAACTGGGAGGCTAGGTCGTGGTCTGGAGATGGTAGACGGCCATCAGGAGCACTCCACTCGACTGGGTTCGGCTCACTCGATCGAGCTTGTGGCTCCTCTTCTCCTCTTCTTCATCTTGAAAGTGTGTGGCTTCCTTGGCCTTGGTGGAGCTGGCTTGCTCGAAGCGGTTGTAGGGAGTCCAGGTCTGAGAGAAGTCCTGGTACTGCGTTGATCGTACTCGAATCCAGGGTTCTCAAACAGGGGCTCCTCCAGGTCAACTCGACCTCAGCTCGATCGAGTTGAGTTTCCTCTGTTTGGACTCGATCGAGTCCGGTGGTCGAGCTGGAGCGTCTGGCCTTGGAGCTCTTCCTCCTTCTCTGCGTGTTGTCTTCTCCTTCCCTTGGCTCGAAAGAAGAGGCTCTGTGAGGCTCTTGGGCAGGGAGCCTCCTTGGAGTGGTGAGGAGTGATCTACTCCTAGGGAAAGTGGGGGCCTTGGACTTCTTCTTCTTGAAGAACCAGTTTTTGATCTTGCTCACCATCTTGTCCATGGACTTTTGCATCTTTCCATGGCTTTCCCTTGCCACTTGTTGAACTTTTGGAGAAGTCCAATCCTCTTGTGGGCAGCCACAACAGAGGGGTTCATCCTTGGAGCCTCATACTCCTCAAAGTAATAGCACTCAGGCTCACCCAAATCCGCATTCCTGGCGTTATCTCAGCTCGATCCTCAGCTCGATCGAGCTCAGGCTCCTCTTCTCGCAAATCATCTTCATGCCCAACTAAGTGTACACAGGGGGTCTGAAGTCAATGTTGTACCTCCTAGACCGTGGTGAGCTCAGGGTTGGGCAGAAGAAGCTTGGAGGGCCAGCCAATGGATGGTGAACTTGAATTGGAATCTCCCATCCAACTCCTTGTGCTCAATGAGAGGTTGGTCTTGCAAAACTTGATGTCCATCCAACCTGGAGTAGACCTTCTCTTGTCCAGTTGGACTCCAGCTGCACAGATAGGTGTGATGACCCTCCAACACTAAGCTTCCTTCCCTTTTGCCTAGTGTTGTAAGCTGTGATCTTGTAGGAGAGAGCTGGTCAAGGAGAGGCATGAGTTCCCTGCAGATCTATCTCCCCTGATCCTCTTGCCATCCTTGTGCGTGAGATGATGGGCTTGATTCCCATGTCAAGGAGCTTCAGTTCTCCCTCATTGATTGTCCCGGTGCCTTCCTTGCAAAGAAGGTGTTGGCAAGAGCCTTGTGCACATATCTCAAGACTGGGCTCCTGATCTGAGCTGCCTTGGACCTTGAGGAAGAGTACACCCATCAGCGATTGTAGCCCAAACCCTTTGGAGTTCTTTTCCTTGAGTTCCATGGTTCCCTCTCCATAGTGAACCCAAACAGATCTCCAAGCTGCCTAAAGGTCACCATTCTCTTCTCTCCCTTGCCAAGAACGTGATCCATCCCAATCCTTGGTCCAACTCAGCTCGATCGAGCTCCTACTGTGGTACCTCATTGAAGCCAAGAACTCACAAGTGAGCTCCTTGTAGACTCCATGCGGTAAGAGAAGAACTTGGCCAAGTGCATGTTCTTGAGACCAACTCCACATCCTCAAAGATTCCAAGGGCCTTCATTGTGTCATCATGTGGGTACTTGGTCTCCACAAAGTCCATGGAGAAGAGAGCATCATAATGGGGAGCTCATCCTCTTCTTCCTCTGACTCCTCCTCTTCCATGGGCTCATTCTCATTGCTCTCATGCTCACTCTCCTCAATCTCTTGATTGACCTCTTCCCCTCTTCTTCACTTGGGACTCATCATTCTCCTCATTGGGATGTTCACTCCAATTTCAAACTCTCCTGCTTCGCTCTCACTACTGATAGGATCATTCCTCTTCTTGGTTCTCCTTCTTCCCTCAATCTCCTCTCAGACCTCCTCAGACATCCTCTCATCTGCTGGTTCTCTCTTTGATCTCATATCCAACCTCATCTTGCATCCTTTCTCTCATTCTTCTTGCTTCTCTCCCTGCTTTTGAAGCTGCTTGCTTCCTTCACCTCTCAACATCTTAACTTGTTGCTTCTTGAGTTGGGTCCTGAAATGCATCAAAAACTCAAAGAATTAGAGTTGTAATGATCGGTTTGGTCAACTCGACACTCAGCTCGATCGAGTCAAAAAACTCGAGTGACAAACTCGATCGAGTTGGGTGAAAACAGAGTATAACCGAACCTAATTCAAGTATTAAGAGCTGGAAAGGATGCTAATCAATCAAATTGAACCAAGAACAACTAGTAAATGGAACAATGAGCAATTCTAGTGAACATAGCATTTAACCATACCAAACTCAAATTCAATTTTCAAGCACATGCAACAAGTTTAATGCAAAACAGAGGTGAGGTGAAGCAAATTCACAAGATTATAAATAGAGAAAAAGGAAAGCAATTACTCAAGCAAGTCCACAAGGGACACATGCAATCAAAAATCAAGAGGAAACAAGCAATAGGAATCGAGATGAAGAATCAAGGGTTTTAGGGTTCATACCTTGCTTGAATGATGGAAGAATCACAGTAAACAAGAACTAAAGCAAAACAAAGGCAAAGAGAAATCGCAAAAACTTAGAGAAAAGAGAGAAATCGATTTTTCTTGTGGTGATGAGAGAGAGAGATGAGTTTCAGAAATTTTAAGTGTGGGAGAGAGAAGGTGGATTCGATCGAGTTATGGGGAAGAGGGGTGTTTGAGATGTGTGGTTGAGATTAAAAGATGAAATAAAGAGGGAACAAGAAGCTAGGGATTCTCTGATCAAATTAGGGTAGTGGGGGACCAAAATCAGCTTGTGGGACCCACTCCCTTGACCAAGAAAACGGTTATGAATTTGAAATTCAAAAACTTACCTCGGTCGAGTTGTGTAGCTCGATCGAGTTGCCCTGGTTTCTAGCTCGATCGAGCTATCGGTCGAGCTGGCTTTTGACACCTAAACTTAACTTATTCAAAGGTTAAAAACATAAAGATAGATAGAAATTGCATAAATAGAGTATGTACAAGGATAAACATGGGACTTCCTCCCAAGTGAGCTTGTTTAAGGTCCCATAGCTTGACCTTTACCTTTTAGGCATTGGTTGAGCTAGTCCCACCATCAAGGGTGATAGTGAGGACTTGAGACAGAAGCTCCTTTAGCTTGGTTGGGTCCCTGGACTGTTCTGAAGTCACCAAGGCCTTGGCTCTAGAGAATGGCCTTGATCTCCCCTTGTACCTTATCTTGTACTCAATCTTCCCATTTTCAAACTTGGTGGGGAACAAAGTCATTGTGAGCTGAGATGGCTTGACTGAAGGGGCCTGAGCTGGTGGATCCTTTCTTTTATCCCTGGTCTTGCCTTAGAGGCTGCATCCTCCCCTTCTTTTAGAGCCCTTCCTAGTGGCTCATCAAACAAAGCTTGAAGGCTCTCTTCATCAAGCACACAAGGGGCTTGAACAAGTCTCTCAGCTCTTGGCCTATCAGATCGTGGTTTCTCAACTCTAGCCCTCTCAAGACGTGGCTTCTCAATCCTTGGTCCTCTCTCATCCTTATCCTTCCCAACTCTTGGTTCCTTGTCAACCCTTTCCTTCACAACCTTTGTAGCTCCATGACTCTTAGAACTGAGAGTGGTACTGTCAATTGTGGCACAAAAGTCTGAACCTCTAGGCTGCAAGCGATATGACACCAAACTATTCACCTTGTGAAGGATCACTTCTTGCTTGTGAAAGTCAATTGAAGCGCCAACTGTACTAAGGAAAGGGGTTCCCAATAACAGAGGCAAATCCTTCTCTTCTTCCATTTCCATCACAGTGAGATCAGTTTGGATGATGCATTCTCCAATTTTCAAGTGATAGTTCTTGAACACTCCAAGAGGAGACTTTAGAAGTGATTGAAGTAGTAGGGCGCTGCAAGGCTCCAGCTATGCCTAGCTTCTCTGCCATGGAGAGAGAGATCAGATTGATGCTTGCTCCAGAATCCACTAAGGCATTGTCAATCTCAAGATGCCCAAGTGTGCAAGGGAGAGTGAATTTCCCTTGATCCTTGACCTTTGGTAGGAAGGTGGGTGAAGTAAGCAGGTTGAACTGATGAGTAGACTCTTGTAGGACCTCTGAAACTTTATCACTGTTGGCTAGAACATCCTTGACCATTTGCATTTGATCAAATGCCTCACTCATGCTATCCATAGGAGGCAACTCAATTCCAATCCCACTGAGATCTCTTCTGAACTTGTGAATCACTTCCTTGTGACCTTGACTAAGTAGGCGAGACGAGGAAGCGGCAACCGGTTGATAAGGATCAAGCAAAACAGGCTGTCGGACAGAAGAGGTCGGACTCGATCGAGCTAGAGTTGGACTCGATCGAGCTGCCGATCGAGCTTGTCGTGCGAGCTCAACTGGTGAAGTGTGAATGGCCACAGTAGGTGCATGCACTTCTGGTTGATCAATCTGGACTCCAGGAGCCTCAGCAGCAACAATCTCTTCATCATTCAGCAGTAAACAAAAATCTTCAATGACCCTTTCTTGATCCTCTTCTTCAACAAGTCCTTCTTGAGTGAAGATGACCTTGCACTGTTCCTGGGGTTCTGAGCTGCTTGTTGTTGAGGATATACTTGGTCCTGAGGGTTAGCAACATCAGTGTTGCGGTATGACATGGCAGGGTTGGACTTGTAGTTATAGTATCCTTTGTTGTAACCTCCTTGCCCATTGCTCATGTAGCATACCTCAGCAAATTGTGTATCCTCCCCTTCTTGGACTGGTTCCATCTCCTCAGCAGACACAAAGTTGACTTTCTTCATTGTGGACTGAGCTAGGATCAGCTTATCCAACTTCTCATTCAATGCCTTAACATCTTTTCTCAACTTTTCGTCTGACTCGATCGAGTGGTGGGTCGAGCTCCGGTTGGTGCGATCATACTCTTCTCCATAGCTTCCATTTGAGTTAGCTATGTTCTCCACAAGTTGCCAGCCATCATCTACATCCTGGTTGAGGAAGTTCCCATTGCTAGCTGTGTCTAGCATCTCCCTATACCTAGGCAAGCATCCTCTATAAAGAGTGGAGAGTAGGATTCATTGTTGAATCCATGGTGTGGGCACTGACTTGTGTAGCCTTTGAACCTCTCCCAAGCCTCTGCGAATGTCTCATTGTTTCGCTGGATGAAGCTGGATATCTCTCCTCTAAGCTTGGCTGTGCGACCGGTGGAGAAAAACTTAGCAAGAAAGGCCTTCTTGCATTCATCCCAAGTGGTGATTGTGCCATGGGGCAAGCTCTTCTCCCATTGGTGAGCTTTGTCAGCTAGAGACATAGGAAAGAGTCTCAGCTTGATGGCATCTTCAGAGACACCATTGATCTTTGTCAAATCACAAAGCCTATCAAACTCATCAAGGTGGTCAATGGGGTCTTCACTTGGCAATCCATGGAACATCTTGTTCTGGACAAGGTTGATCATTCCCAGCTTGATCTCAAAGTTGTGGTTCTGCACTGGTGGTGGAACAATCCCTTGTCTCTGTTGGTGGCGGTTTGGAGCATCTCCTTGACCAATCGGTCGAGTTTGCCTAGCTCGACCGAGTCCATTGCCCAAAGGGTTTCCATTCCCCTCTGGTACATCCATTGTATCAGCAACAAGCACCTCAGGTTCCTCTTGTACCCTCTGTGACCTCTGAACCCTCTTTCTACCCGTTGTAATCTAGCTCGACCAAGTCTCAGTTGACCGACTCGATCGAGTTCGCATACACCTGCAAAAAGAGACAAAAACCCAGCAGTACAATAGAACAGGGGTGGTATAGCTTGATCGTCCAAGTGTGTTTGAAACTCAAATGCAACAAAAATATTCCCAAATCGGCAACGGCGCCAAATTGATGATAGGATTTTGTGTGGATGTGAAGATATGAATGAAATGAGATGAGGTGGAATGCAAACAGTGGTGAATAAAGATGAGTGGTATGGTGCAATCACAATCAATCAATTCCTCTTAACCATCATAGTCATTGAAGTATAAGAGGTTATCAATCCAAAATGGGAAACTTGTCACTCTATGAGAATATGAAACAACCAGAAAGTCAAGCAAGCAGTTATAGATTTGAAGTAACACTAACAACCTAAAAAAATGAAAAGCAGTGCAATAAAAGTAAACAAAGCAGTGAAGTGTCAGCTCGACCAAGACTCGAGTCGAGTCAGAGCAAAGTACCAGCTCGATCGAGTTTAGGGACGAGTTGAGACAAACAAAGCTAAAGGTGACGACTTTAACAAGATAAAGAGAGAATTAGGGTTCAAGACAGGGTTTTGCAATCAAAGGAATCTACACTTAATCAATCTAGCTCTTAAAACTCCTTGTATCAAGGCTTCTCTTGATATTGGGCTTCTCAATGCCTAGCCAACCCTTTCCCAAGGTGGAGGCTATCAACCAAGGAATGATCTCAGAAACAGGGGGTTAGCCAGTGAGAATCAAACCTTGGAGGCTATAGGATCATTGCCCAAACTAATCCATCCAACCCCTTAGACCTCTATTGTCTAGAGCAAGAGATATTGGAGCTCTTAGTGGATCTTTTCCAGCGAATGCCATCACTTCGTGTGGGGAGTCGCCTAAGGACTTACAAGCCAGGGGTAGTGGTCATGTAGCCTTAAGATCTATCCAAAAGAGAGAGAATCTAGATTAAGACCATAAGCTAGAAGGATTAAGCATATGAAACCTCTAATCTATCCCATCTCAAACCCTAATGGGTAACTACTCACTACACATGAATGTAAACACAAGCAAATGCAATAAAAGAGACATCATAAGAAAGAGGAGATGAAATTAAACAACTTTTATTGAAATAAGCAAGTGCAAATACAAAGAGATTATCCAGGATCTAAGGATTCAAGAAGCAAGAGCTTCAAGAACACAAAGATGGGATTAGATCTCTAAAAAGTAAAAGACAATAAATTAAAAGAAACTAAAACAAAATAATCTAAAGCTTGGTGGTTTTTTCGTGGCTTAGAGCCTTTAAATACAAGAGGATTAGGTTTAGGGTCAAAGGAAAGTCAAGGGGGAAGCAACATTTTTCGGGTTTGACTTTGACTTCTCAGCTCGATCGAGTTGAAGCTTGGCCGGTCGAGTTGAGGAACTCGACCGGTTGGTCGAGTAGACGGTCGAGCTGGTCTTCAAGATGGCTTCTCCCTTCTTCCTTTGCGTATCCAGTTGAGCTGCTTCCATGTGCCAAGTCCCTCCATGCTCCTTATGTCCCATATGCTCCAGAATGCTCCAAAAGACCTATTTCAAAGGACCAAACATGCATATGTATGCAAATGCAACCTAAAACTAACATGAATGCATAAGAAGAGAAAAGGAACAAGATATGATGCAAATGGAAGCTAAAACTATGCAAAAGATGCATAAAAGATGTGCTAAAACTATGTAAAATGCAAGTACATCACTCCTCAGCTACAAGCAAATGTCCAGCCCTATCAGATCGATTCCTTAAGCCCTTTTTCTGAACATGACTTTCTGTACTACTTCTTGACGGATACGCGAAGTCCTTCAGTCAACTGTATCTTCATTTGTGATGACATGTCCTAAAACTCGGTCAGCACTGCATCAACAATAAACATATTATCACTCGGAGCTTCTTCTTCTTTAAGCATCTGATCCAACAACATATTTGCTATCTCCATATTCCCAATTTCACAAATTCCGAATACGAGATCTTCATAGCGTCATCCACACGCATGATCGACCATCTCTTTAAGAACCAGAGAAGCTGCATCCTTGTCGTGTTTTCTAGTGTGACCAAGAATCAAAGATGTAAATGTGTAAAGATTAGGACTCAAACCAGCTTCAATCATCTTACAAAGATACTACGTCGACTCAAGCACACCTCCAGCTTTGCAATACGCACCGATCATGAGAAGTTAGTGCCTAGAGTAGTATATTTCGTCTTAGACTCCTAATATAGAAATATATCAACCAAATCTTAAACAAGTTCCATAATTTAATAGAAACATCTTGCCGCCAAGGTTCGCTTAAACTTTTTTATGTTGACCTCGACCTGAGGGTATTTCTGGCATATGTAGGTCACCACACCTTTGAACTCTTTCTTGTTCAATGTTCCAGTCTTTCCTTTGTCCGCTGTACTGAAAATTGCACATATATCTTCTCAACAAGATTGTCCGTTATTACCTTGGTTTGCTCAACAAGACAAGGGTAATAACGTATTAAACTCATCATCTGATACAAATTATATATACCATCATAAAAATTTTATACCAGCTATAAAACTCTGAAAACCAGTAATATGAGACTACTAAAGTATTCTGTCATGTTTTTTCAAGAATGTTGCGAAAATCAGTGAAATGGGAAATGAGATAATGTTCACTTATCAATTGAGAGCACTAACTAGACCACAAGCACTCTATAGACCATGATCTGCACTTCTTCTCACCATAAAAACCAGGAGCTGGTTGTAGCCCCGAGACTAAAATATTTGGGATCCGACACAAAATTAAAAATTAGGGTCTTTTTAAAAACGTTCATACAAAAATATCATAGGCCCATTCAAACTTTTGGGTTTAAATCAGTATTATATTTCTAGTGAAAATATTACACCATTTTGGTAAGGATACATTTTTATATCACATGCGACGTCATTCTATTTCTTTAACATCTAGGTTATTTTCTGTATTATATAAGAATCGGGAACTCTAAACTATTCTCCGCAGTTTTCATTTCCGCCGTACTAGAAAAAAATCATAGCTAGACACTTTTGATGGCGTGAAAGAAGATATCTCAAATCGGGTGAAAGATTCACTAAAAGATATGTTTTGTTCATCTACATATAGATTTTGATTTTGTTTTATATAAGAGTCACATACTCTAATATTTTCTCTACAGTTTTCATTCCACTGTAAGACATAAAAAATTGAAAGGCACTCTATGGCATGGAAGACGAGATATAATTTACCAAAAGTTATGTTTTTTTTTCATTATTTCTCATTGTTTCTCTTATTTTTTTTGTTTTTTTTGATTTCTTGTTTTTAATATAAATGGATGGAGTTTGATACTAGATGACTCTCGTCCCTATGCGCGAGTTAAATGTTCAGTTATCAAATAAAGTAGAAAACATGTAACAGGATTAACATTTGCTAATGGTGTTTTAACAAAAAAACTTAATTCGATTGAGGTCTTATTATTTTTTTCCTAGGAATTTTGTTTTCTCAAACTTATTTATCAAAACTAAGTCAAAGTTTTTTTGTTTAATAGATTATCAATGCGCTAGATAAAATATTAGTTCCTTTACCAATCGTTTTAGGTAGATAAGCCAAAGCTAAATCAGTTTAGACATAGAGAAAACATGAATAAAAACTAGATTTCAAAATCAAAGGTGAAAACAAATCAAGCAATAGATTCCTTATAGAGTTATTGGTGCACATTAGATTCTTTATCGTAAATATCATGAGCTATGAACACCTAATTTGAAAAAATTTAAGATGATATTAATTCTGCAATGCCTTATGCGTTTTTCCATTTTTTTGTTATGTTTTAAAATGCCTGCTTATTTTTTTTTTTTAAATCAATATTTTATTTATAATGAACCTAAGACAGCATATGTGTAAGGAACTAAGAATCGATATATATATCATATGAGACATCGTTCAATTATTTCTTCAGCTAGATAATTTTTTTTATTATATATAAGAGTCACAAAGTCTAATATTTTCTTTAAATCTTTCATATCTGCCGGAAGAGAAAACAATTTAGGCGCTTTTGATGGCATGAAAGAAAAGATCTCAAATCCGGTTAACGATTTACCAAAGGTATGTTTTTATTAATAATAAAATCTTAGATTTTGGTTTTTATTTGATTTCTTGTACGTGTATAATGTTCTAGGGTCATATTATCACTTCTTCAATTATCTCATCATTTTCATATTTTAGTTTTATTGTTAATCGTTTGGGATTAGATGTAAACTTTTAAATACAAAATAATTAAAGTATGTATTGATAAACTAGAAATAGGTCCTTTTCTCTACTGCAAATTAACAGTGATGAAATTGTAATATAAAGGATTCGAAATCCAGAGGACCAGCGTTACACTGTGAAACTACGAGATTTAAAACAGAGCTAAGACAAAGATGATTGGTTTTAGTAGCAGGTAACGAATGTAAACGATGATGTAATTCAATTAAACAGGACTAGACCAAGGCAATTCGCAGAGATTCACAAGTTAACGACCGAACAACTATTCAGGGCACAGATGATGAACAGGTCTCGAACTCAAACATGAAAGTATGTCAATTCACTTTCGCGATAATGATAACTTTATCTAACAACCTAGATGTCTAAACTGTCGTTTGAATCTAGCAGTTGATGACAAGCAATAAACTCAGGTTCGATAAGTTCACGAATCGCCTCAGCATCAACTTTCGCAGGCTAAGGACGATTCGCTCACCACAGTTCGTTCTAACAACCTATAACACTTTTGATGAACAGGTAATCTGAGATCAGAGATCGAATGATCAGATCGATCTAAGCAGTAAGCAACAATGGCGAAGACAGTATTAAAGCCCTATCTGTATTCAGTCAATTTAACACATGAATCCCTTTGAAAAGCCTAGATCTAGCAGGGTGACTACTCAGACATAACGAAACAGCAAACAATACTGAAACTGAATGTCATTGAATCAAATAAGAAAATAGCAAAAAACAAGGGTTCAGAAATCTTCTCCAAACTGTGAAAACAGAGGTTTGATCTCTTCTCCCTCGGAAACAATGAACAACAGTGTAAAACTCTGAAAAACAGCGTAGCCTAAACAGTGGCTAAAGATAGGTCTAAATAGCTCCGGGGTCGACTTCGGTTCAATCCGGTTCGCTGTGGTTCGATCAAGTCGGTTTGCACCAAGTAGATCGAACGGCTGTGATATCATCTGACCGGGATTGATCGAACGGCTGAGAAGAACGGGATCGATCGAGCTGGCTTGCTCTGCATGGGATCGATCGAGTACTCGTGAATGGGTCGATCGATCTCGTCTGCATGTGTTCGATCGAGCTGCTCTGCGTATGAGGTCGATCGAACCTCCTGTGCAGGATCGATCGAGCTTGGGACTCGATCGAGCTCCTTTCGCCTGCTTTCTCCCCTGTTGGTCCATGTGACCAAAGCTCTCCCTGGAACGTCTTTAGACCTGAAAAGACTCGATAAAGACTAGAAAGACTCGATAAAACTCGTGAAAACAAGTGTTAGAATGCGTCAAATACGCAAGATATCAACTCCCCCGGACTTGGTCTTTTGCTTGCCCTCAAGCAAACATAAATTCCAAGAATAGGGAAGAAGTTTGAAAACGCGGGAACTCACAAATCATCAGCAACCATACCCCGAAGGATCATCAGTAGACCTCAAAGGACAAGGTTCGGTCAGTGCATAATCACTGTAGTCCCCTTGAAGTCTCGCATTCCTGATCCCGTGATGAACCTCCATCCTGCAGAAACTCAAGCTACACATAGGTTAACTCTCTACATTCATTAAGTTTTAGGCGTGGACCTCTCATCAGAACATCATACAGGGTCGACGGTGTTGGGTATCAAAAGGCCTGTGTTTGGTGAGGTTAAAGTGTTTAAGGGTTACCAGATACGCCGGAGGATGCATGATATCGCGCAAAACAGCAAGAGAGAATGGTTCTGTTGATAGCCACATTTCCCAACCACTTCACTCTTCAACTCCTTGTATGTTGGATTTATCCAGAACAGCTCTAACTCCCAATTCGCCTTGATCGGTGGTGTTCCTTGGAGGTATTCGGTCGAGCTTGACATTTTATTGAACCACTAGTTCCTTTCCTCAAGTTTTTCTGATTTTTTTTTTTTTTTTTTTTTTTTATGAGGGAACTAGTGTCAATGGCTCGTAAATGTTACCGTGTATTCGTGCTTCTCCAAGGAACGACCATCAGTTCGATCGATTCAGGCTCCATACTCCACCATCACTTCCCATTCTCAGTGTTGTAGATGAACACTCGTCTTGAATGTGGTTGGGAAGCTGTGTCGAACCTTTCTCTCCGACGTTTTTGCACATATCTGCATATATGACAAAAAGAACAGAGTGCATGAAGTCAGAAAGGAGGTAAGGCTCAAGGTGGGGTACCAACCAAAAATGGGCTGGCCACTCAGGATCAACAGAGAGTGGTAAAATGAATAAGAAGTCCTGAGTGTATGGTCCGTTTCCCTGCTATGACATTCCGAATGAGAGGTAATTGATGTCAGATTAGTGGTCCAATAGCATTAGAGTCAACCAAATGTTTCACCAAAATCTCTGCAAAACGAAAATTCCTGGGGGAAGTCTGACCAAAAGGGTAATCCAGCTTTTTACACATAACAAACCCTGCAAAATTGGTCACTAGATAGAAAGAATTCAAGATCAAATGGTTTCATCAGATAAGTTTATTCCCAACAAGTTTTTGACTCAATAAAACCTGACTCAAAGAAAACATCAAAATGACTCAAGGTGAAACAAAAACAAAAGAAAGAAAAAGACGTTAGTAAACACAAAGACCCTCCCCCGGACTTACTTCACACCGACCCGGTGTGAAAAGAAACCAAGGAGAGAGTTAAACAGACTCAATAAAAGAAAAAGAAAAGGGAAAATGGAATGATACAGTGGTGGTGGTCGGTCGAGTGCGTCAGGAGAGAGCATCAGCGGCGTCCGTAGATGAAGTCGTCGAGATCCTCCTGCATGCTCTCCTGCGTGTAAGTGGGGACGGTGGTAGGCGCAGCTCGCTCGTGGTGTAAGGCACGTACTGGTCCGGCGGAGCTCTCGTCGGCGGTGTGTGATCTGTCGGCGCTGTCGGCCTCGAAGTGGAGCTGCATCGCCTGAATGGCAAGTCTGCCAGCTCTGCGCCTGATGGTCTCGCTGCTGCGGCTCTCCAAAGCGCCTCTTCCGCTGCTGTCGCGGCTCGAAGGAAGAGTGTCGTGGTGGCTCAGGAGGCAGTGGTCGTCCGCCGGTGGTGTCGTGGTCGGGCTCGTCGTCGTCCTCAGAGGGGATCGCCTGGCGTGGACCGACTGCGGTCCTCTGGACACCTCCTGAAGCTGAGGCAGTACAGCTCATCTTGTCCTGCAAGGCACGGATCTGATCGGCCATCTTCTTCACCTTGCTCTTGAGCTTGTTGGTGATCTTGTCCTGCGCCTTGTTCCACCGCTGAAGAATGCTGATGTGCTGGTGAGCCGCCTTCAGTCCGGCGGTCTGTCTGGCAGTGGTGGTGTAGCCGCGAAGTGGAAGTGGTCGAGCTCGTCCGTCTGCGTGGAGTCGAGCTCGTGTGACGGATCGCCGCGGTGTGTGGTCGCCTGAGGTGTGGCGTAGTCTCTGGCGGTCGATCGATCTCCGTAGAGAGCAGACTGAGGTGGGTTGAACTCGACGTTGGTCCCACCTCTGATCGTCGTCCAGCTGGGGCTGGGGAGCAACATGCGGGAAACACCGAGCTGAACGTGGGTGAACTGGTACAGGAGTCGGCTGGCGTCTGACGTCTTCTGCAAGAAGACGCTGTTCCTCAGGTACTCGAGATCGAGCCACTCGGGTGGCGCGACCTCGTCCTCTCTGTCAGGTGTGAAGCCGACGGCGCGTAGAAGAGGTGTGACCAAGCCGCCCATCCGCAGTGTGCACTTGTGCCGGATGGTCCTGTTCCTCGAAGCCCAGTCCCTGTAAGAGCGGAGCTGGCTAGCAAGGGCGACCGTGATGCCTCCGTGGGACCTGCTGCCTCGGAGCTCGGTCCCGTTGATCAGTCTCAACGGGATGCCTGTGAGTGCCACGTCGATCATGGCCATCTCTGTCTCTGTGACGTTCCCGGTGGCCTGTCGGGAAAAGAGCGTGTTGGCGATCGCCTTGTGGAAGTAGCGGACCGGCGGGCTCCTGATCTGAGCGGACTTCGCGCTTGAGGAGAAGTAATCCCCAAACGCGATCGTCCCCCAAAGTGCGGACATCTCGTCGCGGTCGACGTCGAGGCCTAGACGGTTGCCTGGCGGCAGGAAAAGTGCTCGGTCGATGTCTCTGTATGAGAGATAGTGTCGCCGTCCGGTGGCCCAGAACGTGATGTACCCGTCACTGCCGTCGGGTGTGGTCTTGCCGGGTTGGCAGGGCTCGTGCTCGAGAGTGGCAAGGAAAAGGCAAGTCGCCTTCCGGTAAGACTCGTACTGCTGGAACATGTCGGTGGATCCCGAGGTTTTGGAACATCTCGTCGATGCGAAGCGTCTGCATCGTGCCTCTGTCGGCGTATCGCGTCCCGGCAAACCTTCATGTCGAGGAGGGTGCGGAAACGCTGCATCTCCTCCGCCGTGACAGCGTCCTCGGTCTCGTCGTCTCCCGGGTCTCAGGAAAAGGTGCATCCCTCATCGTCGAGTCGTCCACGAAGTCGTCATCGGGCTCGACGGTGGGTCTCTTTCCACGCGCTATCTCTTCTCGGCGTCGTGAAGGGTCGCCTCTGTCATCTCTGTTCCTGAAAGGCACAGAAAATATATCAAGTTAGCGCAGCAATAAAGTACATAACTCGACCGACTTACAAGACCACCCGACCGACTCCTGTCGGCAATCAACATTGCATTCGATCGAGTTGGTAAATAGACAACTCAATTAACTCGCCAAACAGTCGGTTTAACACCCAATCACACGCCACAAACTCAATTCAACTTAAAGCGACTAACTATCAATTCTAGCAACTCGATTTACCAATTAAGAACCAATGCCTCACAATCGATCGAACGCGAGATAATAACAGCTAAAAGCGGATTAACGAGCATCAGAATCGATCGAATGCAGGATAATGTCAGTTAAACACGGGTTCGATCGAATAAGTGGTCAAGCAATCGAGTTCAAAAATACTACCTTCCGCTTCGCATGGTTGAAAGAGCGAGAAAGAGATAACGCAGAGGTGACGGATGTGGGTGGCGAGGGAGATAAAGTGTTCGGGTTTCGGAGATGAAGAAAAAAAAAAAGATAGAGGAAGTGGAGAGGAAAGATGAGAGTGAGAGCGATGAGAGGGTGAGAGAGATGAAGAAAAGAGAGAGCGTGAAGAAGAGAGGGGAATGGGCGTGTGTAGTGAAGAGATTTAGGTGGGATGAGTGAAAGAGAGTGTGAGAGGAGATGAGAAGAATGGAGAGAGAGAGAGAGAGAGAGAGAGAGAGAGAGAGAGAGAGAGAGAGAGACTTCTCAGTGGTGGAGTCGTGTGGAGGAGAAGAAAAAGAGAAGGAGTTAAGAAAAGAGATGAGGGAGTAATGTGTGTGGTGGGGAAGGACAGGAAATCGAGGGAGTGGAGATAGGAAGATTCATTTACCTGGGGCGGGACCCACCTTGTCGGCGGGCGGGTCAATGAGTTGGGCGGGTCGGGTCGACCGGATGGGTGGGTCGACACGACGGATTTCCTGATTTTTTTTTTTTTTTTTTTTTTTCGAAACAAAGAAAACAAAATTAGCAGGAAAACCAATTTGAAAAGGGGGAGTATGTACACTTACCGGTGGGTTGCCTCCCACCAAGCGCTTGGTTTAAGTCACTAGATTGACTTGAATGCCTCTCAGGCAGGAGATGGATCACTGAGAGGAATAGATTCCCTCTCTGTGATGTCGGTATCAGCAAGGTATGGCTTGAGGCGTTGACCGTTCACCACGAAATGTCCACCGGACTTGTCCCATAGCTCAAAAGCTCCATATGGTCTGACTTCCTTGATGACAAAGGGCCCAGACCACCTTGATTTCAGCTTTCCAGGGAACAACTTCAGCCTGGAGTTGAATAGCAGGACTTGATCTCCTTGGGAAAAGTCCCTTTTCAGGATCTTTTTGTCATGATAAGCTTTAGTCCGCTCCTTGTAGATCTTCGAACTGTCATAGGCCAGGTGCCTAATCTCGTCAAGCTCGACCAACTGCATGTTTCTCCTCTCTCCCGCAGACTTCATGTCATAGTTCATCTGCTTCACTGCCCACGCAGCCTTGTACTCTAGCTCCACAGGTAGGTGATAAGCTTTAGTCCGCTCCTTTTCAGGATCTTTTTGTCATGATAAGCTTTAGGCGGCTGTAGACTCATCATCACCTCGATCTTCGCTCGGTCGACCTCGATTCCCTTCTCTGAAATCCTATGTCCCAGCACGATCCCATCTCTCACCATGAATGGCATTTCTCCCAGTTCAGCACAAGATGTCTCTCCTCACACCGCTGCAATACCCTGCACAGATTAGACAAACACACAGCAAAGGAGCTTCCATAGAGAAAAGTCGTCCATGAAAACTTCCATTATGTCCTCAATAAGGTCAGTGAAAATAGACATCATGCAGCGCTGGAACGTGGCCGGTGCATTGCACAGTCCAAACGGCATTCTGCGATAGCATAAGTGCCATATGGACATGTGAATGTCGTCTTCTCCTGGTCGTCTGGGTGGATGGGGATCTGAAAGAAACCTGAGTAACCATCTAAAAAGCAGTAGTATGGATGGTTAGCCAATCTCTCAAGCATTTGATCAATAAATGGGAGAGGAAAATGATCTTTGCGAGTGCAGCATTCAGTTTGCGGTAATCAATGCACATGCGATGACCAGTGACAGTTCTAGTGGGTATCAGCTCGTTCCTATCATTCTTAACAACAGTTATACCACCTTTCTTAGGAACTACATGCACAGGACTGACCCACTTACTATCAGATATAGCATAAATTACACCAGCATCTAGAAGTTTCATTATCTCTTTCTTGACAACATCTTTTAGATTCGGGTTTAACCTCCTCTGATGTTCTACAGAAGTCATCGATTCATCTTCTAGATGTATTCTATGCATGCAAAGATCAGGAGAAATTCCAGGGATGTCATCTAGCGAATACCCTATAGCTTTTCTATACTTCCTAAGCTCACAGAGAAGCAAAGCAAGTTCAACATTGTTCAGCTCAGCATTCACTATCACAGGGTATGTAGAGTTAGGTCCCAGAAATGCATACCTGAGCCCCGCAGGGAGTGTTTTCAGCTCGAGCTTAGGTGCACTCGACTCGCTCCAAGGGCTGTTGACGGGACTCTCCTTAGGTCATTCGATCGATCTGGCGGCATTCGATCGATCTTCCTTTTCCTCCAAGCTCATGAACGCCACCAGTCTCTCCATCATTTTCCCGAAGCCATCGGCTTCCTCATTCAGGAAATCGTAATACCTTCAGCTTTAGTCAAAGCTACCTCCAGAGGGTCGTCAAGAAGCATCTCCTCACTCACTTCGTCCACCAAGTTTGAGCCATCTTCAATCACATAAGTTTGCCCATCTAACATTGGCTTCTTGCATTTTGCATAGTTTTAGTACATTTTTTATGCATCTTTTGCATAGTTTTAGCATCCATTAGCATCATATCTTGTTCTTTTTCCCTTCTTATGCATTCATTGTAGTTTTAGGTTGCATTTGCATACATGTGCATGTTTGATCCTTAAACAGGTCTTTTTGGAGAACTATGGAGCAACTGGGACGTGAGGAGCAAGGAAGGACATGGTGCATGGATTCAGCTTGACCGCGCATGCTTAGGATGAAGAAGGAAGCCGCCTTGAAGCCAGCTCGACCCATCTACTGACCAACCGGTCGAGTTCGTCAACTCGACCGGCCAAGCACCAACTCGATCGAGCTACAGAGTCAATGGTCAAACCCGAAAAATGTTGCTTCCCTTTGACTCCCCTTTGACCCTAAACCTAATCCTCTTCTATTTAAAGGCTTGTAGCCACGAAAAATAAAGCTTCTTTTGACCTCTTTTTAGCTCTCTTTGTGTTCTTGAGCTCTTGCTCTTGAACCTTAGATCTAGGCCTTATCTTTGTATTTTGCACTTGTTTATTTCAATAAAAGTTGTTTAGTTTCATTCCTCTACCTTTTAATGTCTCTTTCATTGCATTTGTTATGTATTTTCAATGTGTAGTGAGTAGTTCTCTTTAGGGTTTAAGATGGGCTAGACTAGAGGATTCTTATGCTTAAATCTCTTGCTTTATGTTCTTAACCTAAAATCTCTCTCTTTTGGACAAACCTTAAGGCTACAACCACTGACCATGGTGTGTATGAGTCTAGGCGATTTTCCTCATGGGAATGAGTGGGAAATCGCTTGAAAAGGTCCACTAAGAGCTCCAATATGCTTGCTCTCGAAATGGAGTTTATAGGTGTTGGATGGGTTAGTTTGAGCAATGATCCTACTGCCTCTAAGGCTTGATTCTCACTGGCGACCCCCTGTTTCTGAGATCTTGCCTTAGATGATAGCTTTCACCTTGGGAAAGGGTTAGCTAGGCTAGAGAAGCTCAATACCAAGAGATAGCTTGAGTACAAGTGGTTAATGAGCAAGATTGATTAAGTATAGCCTTCCCCTAGTCGCAAGACCCTGTCTTAGACCCTAACCTTCGTATTAGTAGTCTAAAGTTTGCACCTTTATCGCTTTTTATTGCATTTCCTCTGTTTTTACTTCAACTCGACCCTCAACTCGATCGAGCCAGTTACTCTGTTCTACTCGATCGAGCCCTTGGTCGAGCTGCTTTTATTTACTGCTTTTCCCTTGCATTTCATTTCATTAGGTTGTTAGAACATCCATCTTTACTGTATTGCTTGACTTTCTTGTGTTTGCATATTTCATAGAGTAGCAACAAACCCTTATGGATTGATAACCTCTTATACTACATCGACTATGATGGTTAAGAGGAATTGATTGATTGTGATTGCACCATACCATCTCATCTTTATTCACCCCTGTTTGCATTCCACCTCATATCATTTACATCAGTTCATGCTGGGTTTTTGACTGTTTTGCAGGTGTATGCGAACTCGATCGAGCTCATCAACTGAAGACTTGGTCGAGTTGGACATCAACATAGGCAGAATACAGAGAAAGAAGACTGAGAGGCTACAAGTTGAACCAGAGGTGGTTGTTACTGAAACAATGGATATACCAGAGGGTAATGGAAACCCTTTGGGTAATGGACTCGGTCGAGCTAGGCAGACTCGACCGATTGGACTTGGAGATGCACCAAACCGCCATCAACAAAGATAAGGGATTGTCCCACCACCTGTCCAGAACCACAACTTTGAGATCAAGCTGGGTATGATCAATCTGGTGCAGAACAAGATGTTCAATGGGTTGCCAAGTGAAGACCCCATTGATCACCTTGATGAGTTTGATAGGTTGTGTGATTTGACTAAGATCAATGGTGTCTCTGAAGATGCCATCAAGCTGAGACTCTTCCCTATGTCTCTCGCTGACAAGGCTCACCAATGGGAGAAGAGCCTGCCCCATGGTACCATCACCAGTTGGGATGAGTGCAAGAAGGCATTTCTTGCTAAGTTCTTTTCAACCGGTCGCACTACCAAGCTAAGGAGTGAGATCTCAGGCTTCACTCAGAGGAATAGTGAGACTTTTGCTGAGGCTTGGAAAAGATTCAAAGGCTACACCAGTCAATGCCCTCACCATGGATTCAACAATGAATCCTTACTCTCTACTCTCTATAGAGGATGTTTGGCAAGGTATAGAGAGATTCTAGACAGAGCCAGCAATGGAAAATTCCTAAATCAAGATATAGATGATGGCTGGCAGCTTGTGGAGAACATTGCCATCTCAACTGAAAGTTATGGAGAGGATTATGATCGCACAGACTGGAGCTCGACCGAGCATTCGATCGAGTTGGAGGCACAGCTGCGAAAAGACATGCATGCTCTACATTCCAAGCTAGACAAGCTGATCCTAGCTCAATTCCCTGCGAAGCAAGTCAACTTTATCTCTGGTACAACACTAGTTCAGGACCAGGAAGGGGAGGAACCAAAAATTGCAAAAGTCCCTACAAACAACAAGAAGACTTTCTATGGCCACACCCCATACCAAGCACCTGCGTCATATAAGATTGCTCCGCATGGCTACAGACAACAAGGGACTCTTCCAGGCTTCTCACCCAATTTTATGTTGCACCAACAGAATGTCCCACCCGGATTTCCACCAATTCCATATCACACTCCACCAAGTCAAGATTGGGATATGGAAGACATGCTTCAGCAGCTCCTACAAGGGCAAGCCAATGGTACATTGGACATGAACAACAAGTTGGTTGAGATAGACTCAAAAATTGAATCTTTAACTTCAAGGGTTCAAATGATTGAGTCTTCTAGTGCTTCATCTTCATCATCCCACGAATATGCTCAGGCCGTCATACTAAGAAGTGGTCGACAGTTACCCAACAGAGTTGGTACACCCCAAATCGCTGTGGACATCGATGACGAGGAAGGGGAGGATTTAGTTGAGTATTCAGACATTCCTGCACCCAATTCGATCGAGCCTGAACGCAACACTGAACCAGAGCTCGATCGAGCTAGTGAACCAGAAGTTCCGCAATACAAACCTGAACTCGATTGAGCCAGAGCACAAGCTGACAAAGCTAGTTCCAGCCAGCCACCTAAGCCTGTTGGGAAGAAGAAGGACACTCCATCCGCACCACCACCATACAAACCCCCTCTACCTTTCCTAGGAAGGTTCAAGAAACAGCTATTGGAGAAGCACAAGGCTAAGTTTGAGGAGCTCATAAAGGATATTGAGTTGAAGTTACCTTTCATTGATGCTTTGATGCTCATTCCACCCTACCAGAAGTTCCTGAAGGATGCTGTACTTCAAAGGACTAAGGAGGTGCAAGGAATGGTGATTTTGACTCGTGAATGCAGTGCAATCATTCAACAAAGGGTTATCTCCGAAAAAAAGGAAGATCCGGGGAGTTTTACATTGCCTTGCATGCTAGGACCTCTATCCTTGAAGAACAGCCTCTGCGACCTAGGAACATCAGTCAGCCTTATTCCTTTGTCAGTGGCGAAGAGATTGGGCTATCACAAGTATCAAGCCTGCGGAATCTCACTTGTTTGTGCGGATAGATCAATAAGGCTGCCTACTGGGATGTTTGAAGATCTACCTTTGAGGATAGGGAATGTTTAAATCCCCACTGACTTCATTGTGCTTGAAATGGATGAATTCTGGAGCATATGGGACATAAGGAGCATGGAGGGACTTGGCACATGGAAGCAGCTCAACTGGATACGCAAAGGAAGAAGGGAGAAGCCATCTTGAAGACCAGCTCGACCGTCTACTCGACCAACCGGTCGAGTTCCTCAACTCGACCGGCCAAGCTTCAACTCGATCGAGCTGAGAAGTCAACAGTCAAACCCGAAAAATGTTGCTTCCCCCTTGACTTTCCTTTGACCCTAAACCTAATCCTCTTGTATTTAAAGGCTCTAAGCCACGAAAAAACCACCAAGCTTTAGATTATTTTGTTTTAGTTTCTTTTAATTTATTGTCTTTTACTTTTTAGAGATCTAATCCCATCTTTGTGTTCTTGAAGCTCTTGCTTCTTGAATCCTAGATCCTGGATAATCTCTTTGTATTTGCACTTGCTTATTTCAATAAAAGTTGTTTAATTTCATCTCCTCTTTCTTATGATGTCTCTTTTATTGCATTTGCTTGTGTTTACATTCATGTGTAGTGAGTAGTTACCCATTAGGGTTTGAGATGGGATAGATTAGAGGTTTCATATGCTTAATCCTTCTAGCTTATGGTCTTAATCTAGATTCTCTCTCTTTTGGATAGATCTTAAGGCTACATGACCACTACCCCTGGCTTGTAAGTCCTTAGGCGACTCCCCACACGAAAGTGATGGCATTCGCTGGAAAAGATCCACTAAGAGCTCCAATATCTCTTGCTCTAGACAATAGAGGTCTAAGGGGTTGGATGGATTAGTTTGGGCAATGATCCTATAGCCTCCAAGGTTTGATTCTCACTGGCTAACCCCCTGTTTCTGAGATCATTCCTTGGTTGATAGCCTCCACCTTGGGAAAGGGTTGGCTAGGCATTGAGAAGCCCAATATCAAGAGAAGCCTTGATACAAGGAGTTTTAAGAGCTAGATTGATTAAGTGTAGATTCCTTTGATTGCAAAACCCTGTCTTGAACCCTAATTCTCTCTTTATCTTGTTAAAGTCGTCACCTTTAGCTTTGTTTGTCTCAACTCGTCCCTAAACTCGATCGAGCTGGTACTTTGCTCTGACTCGACTCGAGCTCTTGGTCGAGCTGACACTTCACTGCTTTGTTTACTTTTATTGCACTGCTTTTCATTTTTTTAGGTTGTTAGTGTTACTTCAAATCTTTAACTGCTTGCTTGACTTCTGGTTGTTTCATATTCTCATAGAGTGACAAGTTTCCCATTTTGGATTGATAACCCTTTGTACTACATGACTATCATGGTTAAAGGGAATTGTTGACTGTGTTTGTGTTTGCATCTTACCACCTCATCATATACCACTGATTGCATTCCACTCATCTCATTTCATATCTTTTCACATCCACACACAAATCCTATCATCAATAGCACTTGGATATCTCCAGTTCACTGGGTCCCAAAGAAGGGAGGAATCACGGTCATAAAGAATGACAAAGAGGAGCTGATCCCCACTAGAACAATAGTGGGGCATCGTAGGTGTATAGACTATAGGAAGTTAAATTCTGCATCTAGAAATGATCATTTCCCTCTTCCTTTCATTGATCAGATGTTTGAAAGATTGGCAAACCATCCCTTCTATTGTTTTCTTGATGGTTATAGTGGTTTCTTCCAAATCCCGATCCATCCCAACGATCATGAGAAGACCACTTTCACATGCCCTTATGGTACCTTTGCCTATCGAAGGATGCCATTTGGGCTGTGCAATGCCCCAACTACATTCCAGAGATGCATGACTTCCATTTTTTTCAGATCTGATAGAGGAGATGGTAGAAGTCTTCATGGACGATTTCTCAGTCTATGGAGCATCCTTCTCCTCATGTTTGTCAAACTTGTGCAGGGTCTTGCAGAGGTGTGAGGAGACAAATCTGGTACTCAACTAGGAGAAGTGCCACTTCATGGTCCAAGAAGGAATTGTTCTTGGACACAAAATTTCTGAGAAGGGGATCGAGCTGATCGAGCTAAGGTGGACGTGATGTTGCAGCTTCCTGTGCCTAAGACTGTGAAGGACATCATGAGCTTTCTGGGTCATGCAAGGTTTTACAGAAGATTCATCAAGGATTTCTCCAAGATAGCAAGACCATTGACAAGACTTCAATGCAAGGAAGTGGATTTATAGTTTGATGAAGAATGCCATAAGTCTAGGACCTTGCTGAAGGATGCTCTGGTTTCAGCCCCCATTGTTCAAGTTCCAAACTGGGATCACCAATTCGAGATTATGTGTGATGCGTCTGACTATGCAGTAGGAGCTGTGCTTGGCCAAAAGATAGACAAGAAGCTCAATGTCATCTATTATGCAAGCAGAACCATGGATGATGCTCAATGCAAGTATGCAACCACAGAGAAGGAGCTCCTTGCTGTAGTCTTTTCCTTTGAGAAATTTTGAAGTTACTTGGTTGGATCAAAAGTGATTGTCCACACAGATCATGCTGCTCTTAGGCACATCTTTGCTAAGAAAGATACAAAACACATGCTTCTCAGATGGATTCTATTACTTCAGGAGTTTGTTGTAGAAAAAAGGGAGTGGAAAATGGAGTTACTGATCACCTATCTAGGATGCGAGTTGAAGACATACTCTCCATCAATGACTCTATGCCTGAAGAACAGCTTATGGCAATCATGGTTTTGAAAGAAGGTTTTGATGAGAAGGTCAGGCTAGAAGAAGTTAAGGCTTTGCGAGACGAAAACCTACCTTGGTATGCTGATATAGTGAACTTCATGGTGGCTGGAGAGGTTCCCAATGACTTTGATGCTTACAAAAGGAAGAAGTTCTTCAAAGATGTTAGGCACTACTATTGGGATGAGCCTTACTTGTACAAGAGAGGACCTGATAGCATTTACAGAAGATGCATAGCTGAAGAAGATGTACAAGGAGTTCTAGAGCATTGCCATGGGTCTGCTTATGGAGGTCACTTTGCCACATTCAAAACCGCGACTAAGGTCTTACAAGCTGGACTATGGTGGCCTACTTTTTCAAGGATGCAGCAAGCTTCATCGCTAAGTGTGATCCATGCCAAAGAAAAGGAGGGATCACCAAGGGTAGACATTACAACGGGTAGAAAGAGGGTTCAGAGGTCACAGAGGGTACAAGAGGAACCTGAGGTGCTTGTTGCTGATACAATGGATGTACCAGAGGGGAATGGAAACCCTTTGGGCAATGGACTCGGTCGAGCTAGGCAAACTCGACCGATTGGTCAAGGAGATGCTCCAAACCGCCACCAACAGAGACAAGGGATTGTTCCACCACCAGTGCAGAACCACAACTTTGAGATCAAGCTGGGAATGATCAACCTTGTCCAGAACAAGATGTTCCATGGATTGCCAAGTGAAGACCCCATTGACCACCTTGATGAGTTTGATAGGCTTTGTGATTTGACAAAGATCAATGGTGTCTCTGAAGATGCCATCAAGCTGAGACTCTTTCCTATGTCTCTAGCTGACAAAGCTCACCAATGGGAGAAGAGCTTGCCCCATGGCACAATCACCACTTGGGATGAATGCAAGAAGGCCTTTCTTGCTAAGTTTTTCTCCACCGGTCGCACAGCCAAGCTTAGAGGAGAGATATCCAGCTTCATCCAGCGAAACAATGAGACATTCGCAGAGGCTTGGGAGAGGTTCAAAGGCTACACAAGTCAGTGCCCACACCATGGATTCAACAATGAATCACTACTCTCCACTCTTTATAGAGGATGCTTGCCTAGGTATAGGGAGATGCTAGACACAGCTAGCAATGGGAACTTCCTCAACCAGGATGTAGATGATGGCTGGCAACTTGTGGAGAACATGGCCATATCAACAGAATGCTATGGAGAGCACTATGAAAGTACAGACTGGAGCTCGACCGCGCACTCGATCGAGCTGGACGCTCAGATGAGAAAAGACATGCTTGCACTCAACTCGAAGTTGGACAAACTGATCCTAGCCCAATTCCCTGCCAAGCATGTCAACTATGTCTCAGAACAAACCTTAGTCAAGGACCAGGAAGGGGAGGAGACAACACAAGAGGTTTGCTACATTCAAAATAGACAAGGAAGCTATAGGAATCCTCAACAAGGGAGATACAACAATTATCAAGCCCCCTGGCCGCACCAACAACAAAGTGTTCCACAAGGCTTCAACACAAGGACTACTCATACCCAACCAACTCAAGATTGGGATATGAAGGAAATGCTCCAACAACTTTTACAAGGGCAAGCCAAAGGTTCTCTGGAAATGAACAACAAGCTGGTTGAGATACACTCTAAACTAGAGTCATTGACTTCAAGAGTCCAAATCATTGAGTCTTCAAGTGCATCATCCTCTTCACCACAAGAGTATGCCCAAGCAGTTACACTAAGAAGTGGGAGGCAATTCCCAGTAGAGGTAGCCCACCCCAAATCGCTGTGGACATCGATGACGAGGAAGGGGAGGATTTAGTCGACTATGCTGATAACTCGACCCGAACTCGATCGAGCTGGAACAAAACCCTGAACCAGAACTCGATCGAGCTGGAGAAACTGAGACACTGCAAGACAAACCAGAGCTCGATCGAGCTCAGAAGAAGCAGACAAAGCAAACTCCAGCCAACCAGCTAAACCTGTTGCAAAGAAGAAAGACACTCCAGCAGGACCACCACCATACAAGCCCCCTCTGCCCTTTCCAGGAAGGTTCAAGAAACAACTGTTGGAAGCACACAAGGCCAAGTTTGATGAACTAATGAGACAGCTTGAGTTGAAGTTGCCCTTCATCGACGCCTTGATGCTCATTCCACCTTATCAGAAATTTCTGAAGGATGCTGTTCAGCAAAGAACCAGGGAAGCACAAGGGATGGTAGTGTTGACTCGCGAGTGCAGTGCAATCATTCAGCGGAAGGTCATCTCCGACAAAAAGGAAGATCCGGGGAGTTTCACTTTGCCCTGCATGTTGGGACCCCTATCTTTCAAAAACAGTCTCTGCGATCTAGGATCATCTGTCAGCCTCATGCCTTTGTCTGTAGCAAAGAGACTGGGATATCACAAGTACCAAGCCTGCGGAATCTCACTAGTCTTGGCAGATAGATCGATAAGGTTACCAACTGGGATGCTTGAAGACCTGCCTTTGAGGATAGGGAATGTGGAAATCCCCACAGACTTCATTGTGCTTGAGATGGATGAGGAACCAACAGATCCATTGATTCTAGGAAGGCCATTCCTAGCTACAGCAAGAGCAATGATAGATGTCTGTGAAGGAACAATTGAGTTAAACTTGGGAAAGGACCTGAAGATGAAGTTTGATATCAAGGATACAATGAGGAAACCAACTATAGAAGGTCAGCTCTTTTATGTTGAGGAAATGGATCAGTTGGCAGATGAGCTTCTAGAAGAGTTATCAACAGAGGATCCCTACAAGTTGCTTTGACCAAGGATTCTTCAGAGGGATATGTGAGCTCAGAAACTGATGAGTACAAGAAGCTCCTTGACACCTTCAGACCAGTTCCAAACATTCTGAGCATTGAGGGATTGGACAGGCCAGTTTGCGAAGTCATGGCAGTGAGCTCGATCAAGAACTCGATCGAGTCGAGTTTCGAACAAACGAACTCGATCGAGCTGGGGCTGAAGCAAGGAGCAAGCTCAAGGAGATTGGTCTGAGCTTAAGGCGCCTAAAGTCGACCTCAAACCTTTGCCTGAGGGCCTCAGGTATGCATTTCTGGGTGAAAACTCAACTTACCCTGTCATTGTGAACTCTGATTTGGAACCTGAACAGTTGAGTGCTTTGCTTGTTGAATTGAGAAAGTACAGAAAGGCAATAGGTTACACTCTAGATGATATCAAGGGGATCTCCCCTGACCTATGCATCCATAGGATTCATCTAGAGGATGAAAGTAAGTCAAGCATTGAACCTCAGAGAAGATTGAACCCCAATCTAAAGGAAGTAGTGAAGAAAGAGATACTCAAGTTGCTTGATGCTGGGATAATCTATCCCATCAGTGATAGCACTTGGATATCTCCAGTTCATTGCGTCCCAAAGAAAGGGGGGATCACTGTCATTAAAAACGACAAAGAGGAGCTGATTCCCACTAGAACAATAGTGGGGCATCGCATGTGTATTGACTATAGGAAGCTAAATTCAGCATCTAGAAAGGATCATTTCCCTCTCCCTTTCATTGATCAGATGTTAGAAAGATTGGCAAACCACCCTTTTTATTGTTTTCTTGATGGCTACAGTGGTTTCTTCCAAATCCCGATCCACCCTAATGATCAGGAGAAGACCACTTTCACATGCCCTTATGGCACCTTTGCTTATCGAAGGATGCCATTTGGGCTGTGCAATGCTCCAGCTACTTTCCAGAGGTGCATGACCTCCATTTTTTCAGATCTGATAGAGGAGATGGTAGAAGTCTTCATGGACGATTTCTCAGTCTATGGAGCATCCTTCTCCTCATGTTTGTCTAACTTGTGCAGGGTGTTGCAGAGGTGTGAGGAGACCAATCTAGTACTCAACTGGGAGAAGTGCCACTTCATGGTTCGAGAAGGGATTGTGCTTGGACACAAGATTTCCGAGAAAGGGATCGAGCTCGATCGAGCTAAGGTGGATGTCATGTTGCAGCTCCCTGTTCCCAAGACTGTGAAGGACATAAGGAGTTTTCTGGGTCATGCAGGGTTCTACAGAAGATTCATCAAGGATTTCTCAAAGATAGCAAGACCCTTGACAAGGCTTCTGTGCAAGGAGACAGATTTTGAGTTTGATGAAGAATGCCACAAGTCTTGGACCTTGCTGAAGGATGCTCTGGTATCTGCGCCAATAGTACAAGCTCCAAACTGGGATCACCCATTTGAGATTATGTGTGATGCATCTGACTATGCAGTAGGAGCAGTGCTTGGCCAAAAGATAGACAAGAAACTCAATGTCATCTACTATGCAAGCAAGACTATGGATGATGCTCAGTGCAAGTATGCAACCACAGAGAAGGAGCTCCTTGCCATAGTCTTTGCCTTTGAGAAGTTTCGAAGCTATATAGTTGGATCCAAGGTGATTGTGCACACTGACCATGCTGCCCTTAGACACATCTTCGCTAAGAAAGATACAAAGCCAAGACTTCTCAGATGGATCCTTTTGCTTCAAGAGTTTGATATAGAAGTTGTGGACAAAAAGGGAGTAGAAAATGGAGTTGCTGATCATCTCTCTAGGATGCGAGTTGAAGACATGATCCCCATCAATGATTCTATGCCTGAAGAACAGCTTATGGCAATCATGATCTTGAAGGAGAGTTTTGATGAGAAAGCCAGGCTGGAAGAAGTTAAGGCTCTGCGTGATGAGAATTTGCCATGGTATGCTGATATAGTGAACTTCATGGTGTCCGGAGAAGTCCCTAGTAGCTTTGATGCTTACAAGAGGAAGAAATTCTTCAAGGATGCTAGGCATTACTATTGGGATGAGCCCCTGTACAAGAGAGGACCAGACAGCATTTACAGGAGATGCATTGCTGAAGAGGATGTGCAAGGAGTTCTAGAGCATTGCCATGGGTCAGCTTATGGAGGTCACTTTGCTACATTCAAAACAGCAACTAAGGTTTTGCAATCTGGTTTATGGTGGCCTACTTTGTTTAAGGATGCAGCAGACTACATTGCCAAGTGTGATCCGTGCCAAAGGAAAGGAGGGATCACCAAGAGGGACGAGATGCCACTAAACCCAATTCTAGAGGTTGAGATCTTTGATGTATGGGGAATAGACTTCATGGGACCTTTCAAACCTTCTTCAAACGGGCACAACTACATTTTGGTTGCTGTAGACTATGTATCCAAATGGATTGAAGCCATTCCCTGCCCAACCTGTGACGCCAAGGTGGTTGTCAAGCTTTTCAGAACCATCATCTTTCCAAGGTTCGGCATCCCAAGGGTTGTTATTTCGGATGGAGGCTCCCATTTCATCAACAAGGTGTTTGAAAAGTTGATGAGAAGCCATGGAGTCAAACACAAGGTCGCCACACCTTATCACCCTCAAACCAGTGGGCAAGTTGAAGTCTCCAACAGACAGATCAAGGCCATATTGGAGAAGACTGTGAGCTTCACTAGGAAAGACTGGGCAGCAAGGCTTGATGAGGCACTTTGGGCTTATAGAACAGCCTACAAAACCCCCATTGGAAGGTCTCCTTTCAATTTGCTGTATGGGAAGGACTGCCACTTACCTGTGGAGGTCGAATATAAGGCTTTATGGGCAGTAAAGATGCTGAACTTTGATATAAAGGCAGCACAAGAAAGGAGGGTAATGAACTTGTTTGAGCTGGAGGAGATAAGAATGAATGCCTATGAGAACTCTAGGATTTACAAGATGAGAACCAAGGCAGCCCACGACAAACTGATTCGCCTTAAGGACTTCAAGGTTGGGGACAGTGTGCTCTTGTATAACTCCAAGCTAAGGTTGTTTCCCGGGAAGCTGAGGTCAAAGTGGGCGGGACCATTCAAGATTCACGAAGTTCTACCCTATGGGTCCCTCACTTTACTCAATCAAGAGGGGAAGGAATTCACAGTGAATGGACATAGATGCAAGCCATATCTAGGAATGACCCCCACAGAGGAGATCATCACTCCTCTAGAAGATCCAACCCCGGCCTAAAAGGGGTAAGGTCAAGCTAAGAGACCTAAAACAAGCTCACTTGGGAGGAATTCCCATGTCTATCTTATGTATTTATACTTTATCCTTTTATTTTTATGATTTTTCTTGGCTAAGTCTCACAGGAGCAGGTTTTAGGAAGAAGAGTGGCTAACTCGAGGCACAACTCGATCGAGTCAAGAGCAAGCTCGATCGAGTGAGCCGAACAGTGAGTGGAGCGCTCCTGATGGCCGTCTCCCATCTCCAGACCACGACCTAGCCTCCCAGTTCTTTGGGGGACACTGAGGTATCCAAACACCAACCCTTGTATATACCATTTCATATTTTCTTGCATTTGTTCTTGTTTTTTCTTGGTTTTGCCCTCTTGAATCTTTCACTAAATTTTTCTCACACAAGGGACTGTGTGATTTAAGTTTGGGGGAGGGTTCAAGAGATGATTTAACCTTGTTTTCTTTGTTCTTAGTTTTTCATTTATCTTTTGCATAGAAAAACCAAAAAAATCATAAAATTTTCAAAAAATCCAAAAATATTTTCATCTTTTTGCATTCATATTTGTTAGACTTGTTTAGGATTGCATTTTTCACTTGCATTGTTGATTTGACTTTGAAAACTTGTCCATCTTTTGCGATTTCTTGAGTGCCCTGTTTTTAGATTCTTTTGTGCATTAGGGTGAGATTGATTGAGCAGCAAGAACCATGTTTATCTTGATCATATCACTGCATGCACATCTCATTCAACCATTGCTGTGATTTGATGCATTTCCCTATCTATTTGAACCATAACTTGATCTTTAATTACCAATGCTTGCATTTGATTTCAACTCATGGCTACCACATACATATCTGGACATTCTTTACCATTTTCATATCCCTTTGCTTGTCCAGATAGCTGATCTCTATCTTTGAGACAGTTACCACACCTTAAACCTAAGCCTTTTCATTTCAAACCCCATTATTATCTCTTGTGCGAATGTGAGAACCTTTCTTGGCTTTGCTTAGCATAAGGTGTTGTGTTTAAACCGGCAGGGGCAGTAGTTCTAGTTGTCTAGTTCTCTTGGGATTGTTTTCAGGCTAAGTTTGGGGGTGCCAACTCGAGCTCGATCGAGTTGGGTGTAAAAACCAGAAAAGTGGTAAAAGTTGGGAAAAACCCAAAGGAAAAAGAGTTTGGTTAAGTCCAGGGAGTTGGCAGTGTTAAAAAGGGTCTAGTAAAGGTTTGGGAAGTTAAAAAAGGAAGTAAAAAGGGTTCTAAGTAGAATGAAAAGAAGGCAAAGCCTCAAGTGTCCAAAAAGGAAAGAAAAGTTCCCTAAGTGTTTAGAAAATCCCAAACCGCTAGATGTTACCTCAAGAAGCCTCTCCCTAGGAAGTTCTTAAAAGAAAAGTGAGCAAAGCTCCTCAGTTTCAAAGGCGAAATGCCAAAAAGGGTAGTTAGGATTTTGTTCTAAAAAGCTCTAAGTGTTGAACTCGATCGAGTTAGGATTAGGCGGCTCGAGCTGCTGTTCTTGCATCATCTTTGGTTCTAACACTTAGCCTTCTGCCAAAGCAAAGCCACTTTCTTGAGAGATCCCTGTTACTAAACCACCATACAAAAGAGACCCTCTTTGTCTCTTAACCCATAAACCCTTGAAACCAAATGAGTTGATTGATCTTGCATGTTTTTGGTTCACTGTTTTTGCTTAATGAATGTTAAAGGGATTTGCTGATTTGAATGCATTGTTTGAGTGACTGTGAAGTGGGATTGATGTTGATAAGCATGGTTAAATCTTAATGAATATCTCTCACCTTGTTGCATTCTAGAATCTCTAAGTTGGACATTTAGCAAATCGCTTTTGAGGACATGTTTTTAAGTGTTGAATCAGCTGTTTTCAAACCTCATCTCTTTCTTGTTCTATTTGTTTGCTTGAGGGCAAGCAAAGTTCAAGTTTGGGGGTGTTGATGTACTTGCATTTTACATAGTTTTAGCACATCTTTTATGCATCTTTTGCATAGTTTTAGCATTTGCATCATATCTTGTTCCTTTTCTCTTCTTATGCATTCATGTTAGTTTTAGGTTGCATTTGCATACATATGCATGTTTGGTCCTTTGAAATAGGTCTTTTGGAGCATTCTGGAGCATATGGGACATAAGGAGCATGGAGGGACTTGGCACATGGAAGCAGCTCAACTGGATACGCAAAGGAAGAAGGGAGAAGCCATCTTGAAGACCAGCTCGACCGTCTACTCGACCAACCGGTCGAGTTCCTCAACTCGACCGGCCAAGCTTCAACTCGATCGAGCTGAGAAGTCAACAGTCAAACCCGAAAAATGTTGCTTCCCCCTTGACTTTCCTTTGACCCTAAACCTAATCCTCTTGTATTTAAAGGCTCTAAGCCACGAAAAAACCACCAAGCTTTACTTTATTTATTGTACTTTTACTTTTTAGAGATCTAATCCCATCTTTGTGTTCTTGAAGCTCTTGCTTCTTGAATCCTAGATCCTGGATAATCTCTTTGTATTTGCACTTGCTTATTTCAATAAAAGTTGTTTAATTTCATCTCCTCTTTCTTATGATGTCTCTTTTATTGCATTTGCTTGTGTTTACATTCATGTGTAGTGAGTAGTTACCCATTAGGGTTTGAGATGGGATAGATTAGAGGTTTCATATGCTTAATCCTTCTAGCTTATGGTCTTAATCTAGATTCTCTCTCTTTTGGATAGATCTTAAGGCTACATGACCACTACCCCTGGCTTGTAAGTCCTTAGGCGACTCCCCACACGAAAGTGATGGCATTCGCTGGAAAAGATCCACTAAGAGCTCCAATATCTCTTGCTCTAGACAATAGAGGTCTAAGGGGTTGGATGGATTAGTTTGGGCAATGATCCTATAGCCTCCAAGGTTTGATTCTCACTGGCTAACCCCCTGTTTCTGAGATCATTCCTTGGTTGATAGCCTCCACCTTGGGAAAGGGTTGGCTAGGCATTGAGAAGCCCAATATCAAGAGAAGCCTTGATACAAGGAGTTTTAAGAGCTAGATTGATTAAGTGTAGATTCCTTTGATTGCAAAACCCTGTCTTGAACCCTAATTCTCTCTTTATCTTGTTAAAGTCGTCACCTTTAGCTTTGTTTGTCTCAACTCGTCCCTAAACTCGATCGAGCTGGTACTTTGCTCTGACTCGACTCGAGCTCTTGGTCGAGCTGACACTTCACTGCTTTGTTTACTTTTATTGCACTGCTTTTCATTTTATTTAGGTTGTTAGTGTTACTTCAAATCTTAACTGCTTGCTTGACTTCCTGGTTGTTTCATATTCTCAAAGAGTGACAAGTTTCCCATTTTGGATTGATAACCCTTTGTACTACATCAACTATCATGGTTAAAGGGAATTGTTGACTGTGTTTGTGTTTGCATCTTACCACCTCATCATATACCACTGATTGCATTCCACTCATCTCATTTCATATCTTTTCACATCCACACACAAATCCTATCATCAATAGCACTTGGATATCTCCAGTTCACTGCGTCCCAAAGAAGGGAGGAATCACTGTCATAAAGAATGACAAAGAGGAGCTGATCCCCACTAGAACAATAGTGGGGCATCGCATGTGTATAGACTATAGGAAGTTAAATTCTGCATCTAGAAAGGATCATTTCCCTCTTCCTTTCATTGATCAGATGCTTGAAAGATTGGCAAACCATCCCTTCTATTGTTTTCTTGATGGTTACAGTGGTTTCTTCCAAATCCCGATCCATCCCAATGATCATGAGAAGACCACTTTCACATGCCCTTATGGTACCTTTGCTTATCGAAGGATGCCATTTGGGCTGTGCAATGCCCCACTACTTTCCAGAGATGCATGACCTCCATTTTTTCAGATCTGATAGAGGAGATGGTAGAAGTCTTCATGGACGATTTCTCAGTCTATGGAGCATCCTTCTCCTCATGTTTGTCAAACTTGTGCAGGGTCTTGCAGAGGTGTGAGGAGACAAATCTGGTACTCAACTGGGAGAAGTGCCACTTCATGGTTCAAGAAGGGATTGTTCTTGGACACAAGATTTCTGAGAAAGGGATCGAGCTCGATCGAGCTAAGGTGGATGTGATGTTGCAGCTTCCTGTGCCAAGACTGTGAAGGACATCAGGAGCTTTCTGGGTCATGCAGGGTTTTACAGAAGATTCATCAAGGATTTCTCCAAGATAGCAAGACCATTGACAAGACTTCTATGCAAGGAAGATTTTGAGTTTGATGAAGAATGCCACAAGTCTTGGACCTTGCTGAAGGATGCTCTGGTTTCTGCCCCAATTGTTCAAGCTCCAAACTGGGATCACCATTTGAGATTATGTGTGATGCGTCTGACTATGCAGTAGGAGCAGTGCTTGGCCAAAAGATAGACAAGAAGCTCAATGTCATCTATTATGCAAGCAAGACCTATGGATGATGCTCAATGCAAGTATGCAACCACAGAGAAGGAGCTCCTTGCTGTAGTCTTTGCCTTTGAGAAATTTTGAAGTTACTTGGTTGGATCAAGGTGATTGTCCACACAGATCATGCTGCTCTTAGGCACATCTTTGCTAAGAAAGATACAAAACCAAGCTTCTCAGATGGATCTATTGCTTCAGGAGTTTGTTGTAGACAAAAAGGGAGTGGAAAATGGAGTTGCTGATCACCTATCTAGGATGCGAGTTGAAGACATAGTCCCCATCAATGATTCTATGCCTGAAGAACAGCTTATGGCAATCATGTTTTGAAAGAAGGTTTTGATGAGAAGGTCAGGCTAGAAGAAGTTAAGGCTCTGCGAGAGAAAACCTACCTTGGTATGCTGATATAGTGAACTTCATGGTGCTGGAGAGGTTCCTAGTGACTTTGATGCTTACAAAGGAAGAAGTTCTTCAAAGATGTTAGGCACTACTATTGGGATGAGCCTTACTTGTACAAGAGAGGACCAGATAGCATTTACAGAAGATGCATAGCTGAAGAAGATGTACAAGGAGTTCTAGAGCATTGCCATGGGTCTGCTTATGGAGGTCACTTTGCCACATTCAAAACCGCGACTAAGGTCTTACAAGCTGGACTATGGTGGCCTACTTTGTTCAAGGATGCAGCAAGCTTCATCGCTAAGTGTGATCCATGCCAAAGAAAAGGAGGGATCACCAAGAGAGACGAGATGCCACTAAACCCAATTCTTGAAGTTGAGATCTTTGATGTATGGGGAATAGACTTCATGGGACCTTTCAAGCCTGCTTCAAATGGGAACAATTACATTTTGGTGCTGTGGACTATGTGTCCAAATGGATAGAAGCCATTGCTGCCCAGCTTGTGATGCCAAGGTTGTTATCAAGCTTTTCAGAACCATTATCTTTCCAAGATATGGCATCCCAAGAGTTGTGATCTCAGATGGAGGTTCCCATTTCATCAACAAGGTGTTTGAAAAGTTGATGAAGAACTATGGAGTCAAGCACAAGGTAGCCACGCCCTACCATCCTCAAACCAGTGGGCAAGTTGAGTCTCCAACAGACAGATAAAGGCCATCCTTGAGAAGACGTGAGCTTCACTAGGAAGGATTGGTCAACTAGGCTTGATGAGGCACTTTGGGCTTACAGAACAGCTTACAAAACCCATTGGAAGGTCTCCTTTCAACCTATTGTATGGAAAAGCTTGCCACTTGCCTGTGGAGGTGAATACAAGGCTTTATGGGCAGTAAAGATGCTGAACTTTGATATAAAATCAGCACAAGAGAAGAGAGTAATGAACTTGTTTGAGTTGGAGGAAATCAGAATGAATGCCTATGAGAACTCCAGATCTAAAGAAAGGACCAAGGCAGCCCATGACAAGCTGATTCGCCTTAAGGACTTCAAGGCTGGGGATAGTGTCTTTTGTTCAACTCAAAATTGAGACTATTCCCTGGAAAGCTAAGATCAAAATGGGCAGGACCATTCAAGGTTCGAGAAGTTCTACCTATGGGTCTCTCACTTTGCTCAATCAAGAGGGGAAAGAGTTCACAGTGAATGGCCACAGATGCAAGCCTTACTTAGAAATTAATGATGATGAAGAGGAATCATCACTCCTCTTCAGACCCCCCCTGCCTAAAAAGGTAAGGTCAAGCTATGAGACCTAAAACAAGCTCACTTGGGAGGAATTCCCATGTCTATCTTGTACATATTGCTTTTCTCTTTTATCTCTGTCATTTTCTTGGCTAACTCTTGCAGGAACAGGTTTCTAGGGAGAAACACCATTAACTCGAGGCACTGACTCGATTGAGCCCAAGAGAGAGAGTGAACTCGATCGAGCTGCTCAGAGATTGTTCCTTGGACCGCTCCTGATGGTCGCCTGCCTCTCCAACCACGACCTTGCTTCCCAGTTCTTTGGGGAGCACTAAGGTATCAAACAAACCCTTGTATATACCATTTCATTTTCTTGCATTTTTCTTTTTTTTTCTTGGTTTTGCCCTCTTGAATCTTTCACTGAATTCTTTCACACAAGGGACTGTGTGATTTAAGTTTGGGGGAGGGTTCAAGAGATGATTTAACCTTGTTTTCTTTGTTCTTAGTTTTTCATTCATCTTTTGCATAGAAAAACCAAAAAAATCATAAAATTTTCAAAAAATCCAAAAATATTTTCATCTTTTTGCATTCATATTTGTTAGACTTGTTTAGGATTGCATTTTTCACTTGCATTGTTGATTTGACTTTGAAAACTTGTTCATCTTTTGCGATTTCTTGAGTGCCCTGTTTTTAGATTCTTTTGTGCATTAGGGTGAGATTGATTGAGCACAAGAACCATGTTTATCTTGATCATATCACTGCATGCACATCTCATTCAACCATTGCTGTGATTTGATGCATTTCCCTATCTATTTGAACCATAACTTGATCTTTAATTACCAATGCTTGCATTTGATTTCAACTCATGGCTACCACATACATATCTGGACATTCTTTACCTATTTTCATATCCCTCTTGCTTGTCCAGATAGCTGATCTCCATCTTTGAGACAGTTACCACACCTTAAACCTAAGCCTTTTTCATTTCAAACCCCATATTATCTCTTGTGCGAATTGTGAGAACCTTTCTTGGCTTTGCTTAGCATAAGGTGTTGTGTTTAAACCGGCAGGGCAGTAGTTCTAGTTGTCTAGTTCTCTTGGGATTGTTTTCAGGCTAAGTTTGGGGGTGCCAACTCGAGCTCGATCGAGTTGGGTGTAAAAACCAGAAAAGTGGTAAAAGTTGGGAAAACAAAGGAAAAAGAGTTTAGTTAAGTCCAGGGAGTTGGCAGTGTTAAAAAGGGTCTAGTAAAGGTTTGGGAAGTTAAAAAAGAAAGTAAAAAGGGTTCTAAGTAGAAAGAAAAGAAGGCAAAGCCTCAAGTGTCAAAAGAAAGAAAAGTTCCCTAAGTGTTTAGAAAATCCCAAACCGCTAGATGTTACCTCAAGAAGCCTCTCCCTAGGAAGTTCTTAAAAGAAAAGTGAGCAAAGCTCCTCAGTTTCAAAGGCGAAATGCCAAAAAGGGTAGTTAGGATTTTGTTCTAAAAAGCTCTAAGTGTTGAACTCGATCGAGTTAGGATTAGGTAGCTCGAGCTGCTGTTCTTGCATCATCTTTGGTTCTAACACTTAGCCTTCTGCCAAAGCAAAGCCACTTTCTTGAGAGATCCCTGTTACTAAACCACCATACAAAAGAGACCCTCTTTGTCTCTTAACCCATAAACCCTTGAAACCAAATGAGTTGATTGATCTTGCATGTTTTTGGTTCACTGTTTTTGCTTAATGAATGTTAAAGGGATTTGCTGATTTGAATGCATTGTTTGAGTGACTGTGAAGTGGGATTGATGTTGATAAGCATGGTTAAATCTTAATGAATATCTCTCACCTTGTTGCATTCTAGAATCTCTAAGTTGGACATTTAGCAAATCGCTTTTGAGGACATGTTTTTAAGTGTTGAATCAACTTGTTTTCAAACCTCATCTCTTTCTTGTTCTATTTGTTTGCTTGAGGGCAAGCAAAGTTCAAGTTTGGGGGTGTTGATTTTAATCGACCAGCAACCCTAGGTTTTGAGATCACATCTGAAACTTGTCACATTTCATTGTGTTTGAAACATTATGGTTAGTTTTCTCGTGATGGACGGTTGCGATAAATCAGCCATTTTTCAGAATTTTTGCTAACTCAGATCGTGTCGCACCTTCGACCAAAGATTCCATTAAGACAAGCAGTTTTTTGAAGAGATGGGAATCTGTCTGGCTTAGAGTTCCTGGACTTGAATTAACGCTTAATGATTTACCCGACGGCCAAGCCTTGGAGAGCTTCGTCAACAAATTTCTGGAGTTTAACAAAGGCTCAAATGCAATATATAATCCAAGAAATGCAATGGTAATGACTCGTGGAGTGGATTGATACAGCAGTTGCTCGTGGACTACATCATTTTGATGTTGATACAAAAGAAACTTAATTTAATTGAGAACGTTTACAGGAGCAACACATTGGTCTCTTTAATGCTCGAATGCGGAGGACTCGACACTTTTACTTGTACTGTGTCACTCCCTCGTCTCAAGCTTGAAGACATTTGGTATGATTATGATCCTTTCATCGTGGAGAATATCATTGAAGGCTCTCCTGCTCTCAAGGAGCTTTCTGTGATTAGTCCCAGTCCTATACTTGTTGAACTTTCCAAAGTAGCTGTTGAGAAGGATCTCCGCGTGCGGGCTACGACTCTAAAAATATTTCGTCTCGTGCTTGAGAAAACTCGGGGTGGTAAAAATTCTTCTCTTGAGATTGATGCTCCAAGACTCGTGTATATGAGTCTTAGAGATCACCAATCTGATAAAATGTTGGTGAAGAACTTGAGCTCCTTGTTCATAGTCGAGATTGATAGTACATTTAATGTCAGTTCCAGTCCTTTTGAACCGGTGTCTTCAAGCAAGAAATATGCTATCAGTGATTTTTACGTGGGTATTTCTGTTGTATGACATATGATCATCGCTCATTCTACTCTTGAAATAAATTACATTCTCTTTTGATGTATATAAAACAACTAAATGTAGTTTAATTAATCCTCTAATGATTTGATGAATTCATTTATTTCCTTTTGTAGGTGCCTACCTATATTCAGATTCCGTAAAGATTCCCAAATTCAACAAGTTGTATCGTTTGCATGCTGAGTTCTCTTCCTTCATGCTGGGTTTTATTTCCTCTTGTAGGAAGAGAACTCAGCATGCAAACGATACAACTTGTTGAATTTGAGAATCTTTACGAAATCCGAATATAGGTGGAGGACGTACAAGAGGAAGGAAATGAATTCATTAAATCATCATAGAGGATTGATTAAACTACATATAGTTGTTTTATATACATCAAAAGAGAGTGTAATTTACCTCAAGAGTAGAATGAGCAATGATCATATGTCATACACCAGACATACCCACGAAAACATTACTCATAGCATCTTTGTTCCTTGAAAACAATGGTTCAAAAGGACTGGAACTGACTGTAAGTGTACTATCAATCTCGACCATGAACAAGGAGCTCAAGTTCTTCACCACAATCCTAACAGATTGGTGATCTCTAAGACTCATATACACGAGTCTTGGAGCATCAATCTCAATAGAAGAATTTTTAGCACCCCGAGTTTTCTCAAGCACGAGACGAAATATTTTTAGAGTCTTAGACCGCATGCGGAGATCCTTCTCAACACCTAATTTGTAAAGTACACAAGTATAAGACTGGGACTAATCACCAAAAGCTTCGCAAGAGCAGGAGAGCCTTCAATGATCTTCACTACGATGGAAGGATCATAATCATACAAAATGTCTAAGATACAAGATCTTGAGACGAGGTAATGACACAGTACACGTGAAAGTCTCCAAGCGTCCGCATTCGAGCATTAAAGAGACCAATATGTTGCTCATGTAAACGTTCTCAGTTAATAGGCGTTTTTTGCTCTCGACATCAAAATTCTGTACTCCACGAAAAACTGTTGTATCAATCAACTCCATGAGTCGATCACCATTGTCTTTCTTGGATTGTATCTTAAAATATTGCATTTGCGCGTCTTTGTTAAACTCCATAAATTTGTGGACGAAGCTCTCCAAGGCTTGGCCGTTGGGGGAATCATTAAGCGTTAATTGAAGGCGAGAAACGGGATGTTTTTTTTTGTTTTAGAGAAACGGGATGTTGGTCCTCAAGAACTCCGCAAATCTCATTAATATGGCAATCAGAGAAAAGAACGGTCGAGACAGAAATAGTGAAGAGGATTTGTCAGTGCCAAGAGTACTGACAAAAGTTTTAACAGAGACATCGAACGCTAGGGGTTCGAGAAAAGTATGGAGCTCCGATTTCAGGAAGGGAATCGCCGGTCGGTTATCAGTTTAACTTTTCTTTTTCTTTTGTGAATCTGATCTCTCTCTTTGTTTTCTTACTATCATAAGGTTCAGTGCACGTTTGCAACTGTATGTTTAATAATAAACAAAATGTTTCATTGGTTGGTAATATACCCTTTAACACTTAAATTCCCAACATTATCAATTACGACCTCAAACGAATCAATTTTTTTTCAAACACCATTAGCAATCTTAGTCATGAAACATGTTTTTCTAATTTATAAAATACTTGAAAATTTAAGTAACATTTAACCCGGACATCGCGATGAGAGTCATCTAACATAGAAAATCTGTCCATTTATAATATTATACATATAAAGTAAAATGGAGTCTCTTCTCATGATGCCACCTCATCACATGGGTGCTTAAGAATTTGACACAATATCACTTTATTTATTAATTTTAGATTATTTATCTGATCTATTATGTTCTCTATTATTATACTTTAATTCTCTCAATAATTACCAACTATTAATATAATAGTTTGAGGTAAAATTTTATAAGATATTATTGTTTCATCAAAAATAATTTATGTATACCATAATTTTCTGTTACTTTATAGAACAATAGAACGAAAAAAATGTCAATTATACAGTATTCCACAAACCATTTTGCTTTTAAAAATGAGCTTATATAGAAGTAAATTACGTAGTTGACTTTTTATAATATGAAATCAAAAATAATCATGGGAGGCAAATGTGGTTGCGTCTAATTTTGGCAAATGTGAAAGGAAGAGAGAGTTGTACGAAATAAACATCTTTTAAAAAATAGATTATAACAGTATTAAAAAAGTTACAATGGCATGGTTAGAGAGAAAAAAATTAGAACGGACAGAAAAAATAATAGAAGAGGAAGATAGTGAAGATTAAAATTTATATCGGCGGGGGAGAGAGTTGAAAGAAAAACATGTTTAAACCGAGCCATAATTTGATCTAAACATCATGTTAGGTGGAGAGAAGGGAATGGGGGTTTGCCAGAAAAATGTAAAACACTTAAAGAAAAATTATATAGGTGAGACGAATAGACATCCAACCCATATTCGAGTATCAAAATGTTCTAATGTGTTCTAAATGCAACTATGCAATCGACCATTAATAATTCTTCTAACCATGTACGGTAATAGGAATACAAAATTTTGCGTAAAACATAGATCAACCCTCTAGCATATATAAGAAGAAGAAATATAATAAGAGAAAGAATCATCAATAAAATCAAAATCTGGAAAAATCATATTTACCAATACTAAGGGAGATATCCATAGAACAGATGTTTACAATATATTTTTCATCATACCTATTTTAATTATTTCGTATTTAAAACTTTATATATCTAATCTCAATCAATGAACAATAAAACTAAAAATACTGAATAATATGATAATGATGAGATAATCGAAGAAGTTATAACATGAACATAAAAATTATACAAGTATTTGAAAAATTAACAAGAAATCAAATAAAAATAAAAATCTAAGAATCTGTTATTAATAAAAACATACCTTTGGTGAATCGTTAACCGGATTTGAGATCTTTTCTTCCATGCCATCAAAAGCGCCTTTGATTTTTTTTCTCTTGCGACAAATATGAAAAATTGGGAGAAAAAATAGACTTTGTCACTCTTATATGAAAATAAAAATCTAATAATATATTCTTAATAAAAACGTACCTTTTGGTAAATTATTAACCAGATTTTAGATCTCTTCTTCCATGCCATCAAAAGTGCCTTTCAGTTTTTTTGTCTTACGGTTGAATGAAAACTGTAGAGAAAAATTTAGAGTATGTGACTCTTATAAAAAAACAAAAACAAAATCTATATGTAGAAGAACAAAACATACCCTTAGGTGAAACTTTCACTGGAATATCTTCTTCCATGCCATTAAAAGTGGCTAATTTTTTTCTCTTACGGCGGAAATGAAAACTGCGGAGAAAAATTTAGAGTTCCTGATTTTTATATCACAGAGAATAACCTAGATGTTAAAGAAATAGAACGACGTCGCATGTGATATAAATATATATCCTATTAAAATGGTGTCATATTTTTGTTAAAAATAAAATACTAAATTAAACCCAAAAGTTTGAATGGGCCTCGGATTTTTTTTTTCTAAAAGTTTTTAGAGGTCTTTTTTTAAGCTTAAAAAAGGCCCTATTTTTAATTTTGTGTTGGACCCCAAATATATTAGTCCCAGGACCAGAAGAGATGAAGATTCATGGTCTCTTGATATCAGTGCATGTGGTCAAGTTAGTGCTCTCAAGAGATAAGTCATTATTATCTCATTTCCCATTTCACAGGTTTTCCCAAACATACTTGAACAAACATAATTATTTAGTAGTTTTCAGAGTTTTATAGCTGGTATAAGATTTTTTATGATGATCTATATGATTTGTATTGTTTAATATAACATTATTGTATCCGATGATGAGTTTAATATGTTATTACCTTGGTCTTATTGAGCAAACAGGAAGATATATGTGCAATTTTCAGTACAGCGGACAAGGGAAAGACTGGAACATTGAACAAGAAAGAGTTAAAAGGTATGGTGACATACATATGCCAGAGGTACCCTCAGGTGGAGGTCAACATAGAAAAGTTTAACCAACCCTTGGCGGCAAGAGGCAACAGAATCACCAAATTCATAAGACAGCGGAAATCGACACATGCATTCGCCAAAATTTAAGTGAATTGGGGAAGAATAGATGATTTAATAATTGGAGATAATTGTTAAATTAGATGGGTTATCCAATAGATCTGGTTTGGGTGGGTAAAATTTTGGTTGGGTTGGTAATTTTAAAATGGATGAAGGGCACATAAGTATTTGCCGAGTTTTTGGATTTAAAAAAAAAAATCAAAAAGAAATTAATTATTAGATGAATGGCACGACAGCTCCATTCTTCACAACTTATGGCATAACAGCAATTCTTTCAAATAAATCGCAAAGTGAAACATAAAAGGAAAGGAAATACAAGAAACAAAACGCAAAACTTAAACTATTGTTCGTTGAAACTAAAAGAAACAAAACACTAAGCATAACTTAAAAACCTGCAAGAAAAGGAAAGTTTTGAGTTTAAAAATATGAAATGAATGCAAAGGCTCACACTGGTTTGGTCTTAATCTTCATGTTTTCTCGGCAAGGATGGTGAGAATGTTGATGCCGGGAGTGTTCTTCAAGAGCGGCCAAGATTTCTTGTCTTTTCCATGTTCTTCTTGCTTGTTCTCTTCTTGTTCCTCTCCTGGTTCTTCCTTGATGCTTGTTTGTAGAAGTAGGTTGTTGACTGCTTTGTTGAATTCCTGGCTAAGCTTTCTTGTTCCGGATCTTTTCCTTGGTGCATTCTTCATGCTTGGTATGATCTCTCCAGGATTTGGGTCGTCTTGTTGGTCTGTTGGGTCGATGTTAACATCACTTGGTGAGGCGTGGGCCTTGGGGAAGTTCTTTAGTAGCTTTAGGTAGCTGCTCTATTTGTGGAGGTGGTTGATGGTAATGTTAGGGTTGATGATTTAGCTTTGGTGGTGGAACATAGAGTGGACCTCTAGCAAATCTGATGAGGAAAGCTTCCTTACATCTATTCCATGTCTTGAAATCATATTGGGCAGAGAATCTAACCCACTCTTGTGCTCGTTCAACAAGAGATAGTTGGAATAGTTGGATCTTCTTTGGATTATCACCAAGACCATAGTAGTTGCATAGGCTCTCAAACTTGTAGACATGCTCCTTTGCACACTCGGATATGAAATCATGGAAAGTTCTCTCTCCATATGCTTGATTAGATCGTCGTTCATCAGCTGTGTCCACTCAAAAGCTCTCCCAGCTAAGGACATGCTGAATAGCATTATCTTCTTCTCAAAGTTGAAAACTCCATAATAATCACAAAGATTCTCAAAGTGATCTATGTGCTCCAGCGCATGCTCTTGGTAAAGATCATGGAATTGATCTCTCTTCACGAACTCGTTAAGCTCAGGGTCGAAATCGGTGTAACAAGAAGGTGTTTTTCTCGGTCGAAATCGGCTTGGCTAGACGTCTCCAGGTCGGCTGCTTGAAGGTAAAGGAGAAGATTCTTCTTTGTCATCAAAGGAGATAGACTAGGAGGACTATTGTAGGATTCCCATGAAGGTGGTGGTGCTTGAGGACTCGATATCTCTTGTTCGGTTGGAAAGTTTCTTTGAAGTGAGATGTGGCAAAGTGGTATTGCCTTTATAGGACTAGGAACTCTTGGATCCCTTTCCATATTTATAAAATGTAAAACCTAAAAGATTCAAAAAAAAAAAAAAAACTAAATTAGAAAAGCTAAAAGCGAAAATTAAAGAAAAAGTAAAACCCTAGACTAATAAATAGCAAGAACTCGTAGGTGCTAATTGGTCCCCGGCAACGGCGCAAAAAACATGATGCGGGATCAGGTTTTCCCGATTCCTATCCCTGATTATTCAAGTGCACAGATCATAAGTAGTAACGGGTACCAAACACAAGAACGAGATTGCACACTACAAGGTATGAGTTCGAGAGCTAGGGTAAAATTCTGGATTGGGTTTGTTAATAAATAGATTTAAAAAAGTAATGATAGTAAAACAGAGGTCGGCTGACACAAAGTGTTGGTGTCGCTCCACACCAGAGAATTTTGTTGATTTCGCTTGTGTTTGTTGGTTGCTTGTTGGTCTAGTGTCTTGCGTAATTGACTTCTAGGAGGGATGATCGTCTCACTAAGTATTTATGATAATACTTACGCATCTCTTTCGTATTGTGATGCAGGTAAAAGAAATGTGTGATCGCGGAATCAAGGCCGAAGAAGGCGAATATAGGATTATTGCATTGTTTTATCATTTTAGGTATTAACTGAACCTCGTGTTTAGGTTGCTAGCCTTCTTTATTGATTTGTTTTATTTGTTTCTGCTGAATATTGAGAATTGATTTATTATTTATTTTATTGGTTTTAGAGTTCCGCTTAATTGTTATTGGTTTAATTTAATTTTTAAAAATGGTCTAATGGAGACAGTCTTATACAAAATATCCAATGTGGCGCAAGTAAAGTTATTCATAATTTGTAATAAAAAATATTTACGATGGCTAAAAAAAAAAGAATACTCATAGTCATAACTCTAACTGGTAAATGAGGAATGCAACTGAATTGTGCAATCATATATATGAAAAGGGGCCAGCCCTCTCCATCTTTACGACACCTGGATGCAGCAAATAAAGACAAGTGGCATTTTAGATACAAAATTGCAAAATAACAATTCAATTTCTTCATCTTTACCTACCCATCGATTGACATGTGGCAATATTCTTTAAAGAGGGCAACTTCTTCTCATTTAGTCGCTGTCTTACAAGCAAGTTTTACGAATTCCGTCGCTTCATTTTGTAATCATGCCCATGCATGGTTTTATGATATCCTCCATATTTTAGACGTTTCACTTGTCTTCATACCCGAGACGTTAAGCAATTTTTTAACTCTTCATCTTCCCTGTGTTTATATTCCAACAATTCTTATTCCCGTTCGATACCTATCCGTACGAAGTAGCTCATCACTGAGGGAATTGAACGCCCCTCATATCTATACCTGTTGTTGGCTCTAAGTAAGAGAGATGCTACTTTATTCACATAAAACTCCATTGATTTGGGCCATGTATGAGCTCTTCATCAAATTGATCATTTATCTTAGGATTAATTTCATGCGTATCTAAATTCTAGCGGATCCTCTGTTTTTTCCCATGCGGCTCTCATATCGGTATGATGGTGTCCTTTTCTTTCTCTAATTTTGTTAGGGCATGTTTTAATCTGGGTATGAAAAAATTCTTAGCCTTTCTCATGGTTTTAGGATTTCTTTTTCTTTCCTGGTTGTTTTGGTGTAATGGTGTTTGCTAAGTGCAAATGTATGGTTAACTATTAAATTCAGAGAATTACCCCATGCTTTTCGTCTGCAATTGTTTATGGTTAAATGCCAATTTTAGTAATCAAGCTGAAACCAGGTACATAGATTTCACCTTCCGTAGCGTTTCTTACTCTGACCGAAAGTTCTTGAAGTGTGTGTACTTGAAATTTTGGGAATATATGCACATCATGATCTACGGTCCACTTGTGCAAGAAAGAGCTATACTTTGGAATTTGGACGCGACAAGCATTCCGGGATTGTGTCTTCTTCAGGTTCATTTTATGGGACCCAGACCAGGAAGGTGCAAGAATGTGTTATATTTTCTTGTCTGTTTCAGGTAACTAATTTAGTGGCAAGAATTTAGAGATAGGCTGGCCAAACGGAGGATAACTTCTTCATTCCTATCTGTTCTATGTGCGTGAAAATTTCACAGAGATTATTAGAATACTCAATATGTATATCTTTTATAGATTTTCTTCTTCACGTAGACATCACATTTGAAGCCAAAATGTTTATGCCTTGGACTTGTGGACTCTGGTTTGACTTCTTTTGCAATAGTCATATGATAAATTGATAATCAATATTCAAAACTCAAAAGCATGTGCTTTGTTGTTTTACAGGCCAGGCTTTTATGTAATGAGCAAAAAGGCGAGAGATTCATTTGAGAGACTCTACAGGAATTGTGAAAGTATAGAAAACGGAGAATTTTCAAATGCACACTTTGCAATGAAAGAAGCTCTCATAGTTACTACATGGTTTGTAACCACAAAAATTATGGGTTGAAGCATATTTAGCTTTATAATATTGTCTGATACAACTTACAAGTAATTGTCTCTCTTTGTAGATCATTTTTTTGCCAGCTGAGGGAAGATTGGTACTTGTCCGGCATGGGTTGGTCAGAAAATATAGACCAAGCTAGACAAACATGATCTGAAGCAAAGATGCAATCATGCAAGTAATCTTTGCTTCTCTACCCTCTCAATTATTTTGTCAAAGTTGTTTTATGTTTTGGATATAATTGACATATATATACCTCTGATTAACATACACTGAAGAGACTAAGGAAATAATGGACTGGAGGGAGTTTGAAATCTTTGGCCTATAGCAAATGGAGACTTTCACGTCAGCTCCATGTGAAATAGTTTTACCACTTTATCGCCTGGTAGATTTTTTTTTTTAAGAACAATGCAGTGGTGAGTTTATTTCCAAAATCCAGACTGAGAAGAAGCAACAAGATTAAGAAAAGAATAATTCAGTTGAAGTCAAAGTTAACCTCCTGCATGATCTGACTGGTAATCATTTTTCTTTACCTCTTCTTCTGGCTTTTCAACAGTGTGCTCTGATTTTCTAATGCAATGGTTTCATGTTGGAACTTGGTAGAAGTAGAAAATTTGTATGTGCTTTTGACTAGCACGTTCATTTCTGTCTAACAAACCAATAAGATGAATGCCTTACGCTTCGATGCTCTACATTGAAATGACTGGTCCTCTTTTCATTATCAATTACTATGCGTCATCTGAACAGCTTTATCAGTATTAGTTACGAGACCGTAGGCTCTCATTAAGAATTATATTTTATGCATGTTTAATAAAAAGCTTTTGAAATTTAGTTTAATCTTTAACAAAATTCATCCAGTTCTATCTTAATATGTTACTAAACAGCGTTCAAAGTTCTTTCGAGAAGAAGGCAAGTATTCCAGCATTGAAGGCTTCCACCTGCGCATATCCTACTTAGGCAGAAAAATGATGATCTCTAGGAAGGAAGGACCGCTCTGAAGGTTTCGGAGTGTAAACTCAACTTTATAGAGAAGGAAATATTGGAGTGTAAACACAAGAATGCAGATCATGAGAACGAACTTGATGATATGGATATGCAGGTCAAACGTGGAAGATATTTAGATGAGGTAGAAGCTTTGCGTCCCCAGAGTGTGGATCAATCATTTTTGTTAACTATGGAGATAAAGAAAAAGAAAGAAGCCTACACTTCTTACAAAAAGCTGAATCCCAATGTATATTTATGCAAAAGGATCAATCTTACAACTGCTGGCAGTGCTCTTAACCAAAACCACCTTGAAGATGAGACTAACTCAATGGAACAACATGAGAGACCGTTCATCTCAAGTTGTAAGTGTTAGAAATCTCTTGCTCAGCTGCTAATAAGTACAGTCTCATTTCAAATTACTTGCTATAATGAGGCATATCTGCTCCAGCTGCAGGTTTCTTGCTGGCATTATTTAACTCATCTATTTTGATTTCTCTCTTTCTTTTACAGCTCTTGAAAGGTAACACCCATAAGCAGACAAACCGAGAGTTGGTAGTGGCTCCAGTATCAGCGGTGAGAAAGATAGTAGCTACTTCTTTTGCAGTCACATGGTGTTGTAAGAGGTGACTCTTCTGGTGCAAAATGTTTACAGCTAAGCGGTTTAAAGCATCCAGCTTCAATTTGTATTCTCTGCTCGTAGGATGAGTCATGATCAATAATTTTAAAGTCATTTTCCTATGCTATATAATCTTAAATATTAAAATCAATAAACACATTCATGTTAATAACTACCAGCTTATCTTTTCAGATATCTTTTTCTACTACATTGGGGAAATTTCAAAACTACATCTCTTGAGATGTCAATTTTCAAAAATACTCCTCTATAGTGTTCATTTTCAAAACTACACTTTTTCATGGAGTAAAAGAACTCTAAACCCTAAAATATAAACCCAAAACCCTAAAATCTAACATTGAACCTTTAAATCTAAATCCTAAACCACAAAATTTAAACTCTAATCTAGGATTATTGAACCCAAACATATATATTAAAATTAGGAAAAGTGTATTTTTGAAACTTTCCACACCATATGTGTAGTTTTGTAAATTTGCACCTCAAGAGGTGTATTTCTTAAAATTTCTCTACTACATTTGTCATGCTGGGATTGAAATTCACAATTTGAATTTCTAAGTAGATATTAAATAATTAAATAATGAGAAAGAAATGTCAAATGATACAAGATAAAGGATATATGTATGTTTTCAACCACTCCTGCTTGGCACGTCCAATGGTGCTACTTAAACCGTCAAATAAGTAGGAAGTTTAAAAACATGACTCATAATGTAACAATTGGAGAAAGACACTGAATCCTTGAATTCACATATACTTCATCTCTTTGGGTACTTAACTCAAATCTCGTATTTGTCTCATCTTTGTATAAATCTATACACTATTTAGTATTTTTACGTAAATGATATGGATGTCGACACCAAAAGGGAAGAAATACCCTAAAGACATAAACATTGCATTATTTGCTAGATTTAAGCCATTACATAATATGATTTTTGGTCTGCATAGTTGTGGTATTAGTGCCTGTTCAATATTTGTATTAAAAAATATGTGAGGAAAAACCCACGCGTACGCGCGGGCATCGGCCTAGTTATGATGAATGTAGCTGAGGAATTGAAAAATTGTGGATTTCTGATGTTCTCACTAAAAGGCAAAACATGCTAATTTTTATTTAAACTAATAACTATTGAATATTAAATAAAAAAACTAAATCTGAATTAAATAAAAGTAAAATTAGTTAACAGTTGAACACAATATTCAAAAAACTTTAGATTAGTTATAATATTATCAAGAGCAAATGCGTGATTGGATGGAGAAAACACAAAAATGTTTTTCCAACTAATCAAAACTGTAACATCCATAAACCAAATAATTGAAATTGATTTTGGTTCAATTTAAGTGAATTGGTTTGGGTCGGTTTAGTGGAGAAAGCCCTAAAATCAAGTTTAAAGAGTGCAGCCGTCTTCTCTTTGGAGAATTTTCGAGTTCAGGCTGTAGAGGAGAAAAGGAGTTTTTGGAGAGATTTTCGAGTTTTACTGTTCATCGGGTTACTGTTCATCGGGGTACTGTTCATCGGGGCACTGTTCATTGTCTTTCCTTCAGTTTCAATCATTGTCAAGGTGAGTGCATGACTGTGGGTCCGTGATTTGCTAGATTAGATTTGGTTTGTGGTTGTTCTTGATGAGTTTATGTTTTAATTGTTATTTTTATGATATTTTGGTTGTTTATGTGATGAATTGTGTGTTTGTGTGGTTTAATCTGGTTTATTGAATTAATTGATTTAATTGGTTTATCTTGGTTTAATTGATTTGATTCTGGTTAATTGGTTAATTGAATTTAATTGTTTTAATTCAAATTATTTATTTATTTTCGGATTTAATTAATTAATGGTTAATTTAATTAATTAATTGATTTAAAATAATTATTTTAATTATTTTAAAATATGGAAATATTATTATTTAATTATTTAAAATTGAAAATTATTTTAATTAGAATTATTTAATAATTGAGAAATTGAGTTTTAATTATTAAAAATTATTTAATAATTGGAAAATGGTATTTAATAATTATTGGAGTTTATAAATATTATTAAATATCTAGTAAATTGCGTAAATGGCTCGTAGGCAGAGTGATTGCCTCACTAAGTATTTATTAAATACTTACGCAACTCCATTCCAATGTGTTGCAGGTAAAAGATTTGTGTGATCGCGGAATCAAGGCTGAAGAGGGGGATGATAGGATGTTTACTGTTTTATTGTTTTGCATTATTTTGCTAGACTTGTTTAATTATTATTTGCTTCCGCTGAGCTGATTTATTTGTTATTGATATTTTATTTATTTAATTTATTTTAAAGACCTTCGCTAGAATTGATTATATTTATTAAAAAAAAATGTTGGTTGTTTCATTTTGGTATCAGAGCCTAGACGGTTTTAGGACTGTTAGAATTGCTAGGCTTAGTATCATCCCCTTCAGCTACAAGAGATTCCGCGGTGAGTTTATGTTTGTTTTGAGTTTTGGTTGCGTGTTCTAGTGTGCTCTTTTCGGTTCCATGAGTGAGATGGACTGAGTAGCTAGAGGTTGTGGCGCGAGAGGGCGCGGTGCTGAGGCCGTGGTGGCAGAGCTAGAGGCCGTGGAGGCCGGGGCCGAGATTGTGGACTTCGGCGGATTCGGGAGAGAGTGTGGTGCCTAGTGTGGCGACTGCGTCGGTGACCCAGTCGGTATCCGTGGCGAGTGAGGCCAGTGTGGATGCGAGTGTTGGTTTGGGAGCGGGGGCTGCTCCGGGTTGGGGTGGTGCTCCGGCTCAGGGTCTTGATGACTTAGTGGTGGGTTTGCTGACGCAGTTATTGGCTCGTTTTCCGCCAGTGGTTCCACAGGGGCTCCGGGAGTACCTCCAGTGGCAGAGGTGCAGCAGAGGGCTGCGGGATTTGTTCAGCCGCAGGCTGTGGGTTTGATGGTGCCGTCCTATTTGGATATGATGGGGCACATGCAGAGGATTGGTACGCCGTACTTTGAGGGCGGAGTTAGCCCAGAGGCGGCAGATGAGTGGCGTCAGAGATTGGAGCGGAATTTCCAGTCTATCAGATTTCTGGTTTAGTACCAGGTTGAGTTGGCAGTCCACTATCTGAGTGGAGATGCACATTTGTGGTGGCGGCCATCGAGGGCATAATGGTTGTTGTTGCTGTGTGTTGTTCATTTATCTGTGATAAATTGTTGAGGTTCTCAACGCATGTGTTTCGTAATGACCTTGTTAGTGGGCGGTTTTGAGTCCCACGTTTTATTCGACTCTGGAGCATCGAATTGCTTCATTACACCGGAGCGTGCCGAGAAGAGTGGCATCCGGAGTAGCGCGGGCGAGAGCGCGGGCATGGTCAAGGTGGCGGGAGGTGGATTCTTGTCTACTTTGGGCCGTGCTAGAGGAGTCGAGATCGAGATTGCGGGGCAGTCAATGCCAGCAGACTTAGTCATCAGTCCGGTGGAGCTGTATGACGTTATTCTCGGGATGGACTGGTTGTCACACTACAGAGTTCATCTGGATTGCTACAGAGGTAGAGTGGTCTTCGAGCGAGATGCAGGGAGGTTGGTTTATCAGGGAGTGAGACCGACTTCCGGGAGTATTGTGATATCTGCTATTCAGGCCGAGCAGTTGTTAGAGCGGGGCTGTGAGGCGTATCTGGCGACGATTTCTATGTCTGAGTCAGGAGCTGGAGTTGTTATGGGAGATATTGAGGTTGTCCAGGATTTTGAGGATGTCTTTCAGTCACTGAAGGGATTACCACCATCTCGGTCTGATCCTTTCACGATTGAGTTAGAGCCGGGGACAGCACCGATATCGAAGACGCCTTACAGGATGGCGCCAGCTGAGTTGGCAGAGCTGAAGAAGCAGATAGAGGACCTTTTGTCTAAGGGGTTCATTCGACCGAGTGTTTCACCGTGGGGAGCACCGGTGTTGTTTGTGAAGAAGAAGGATGGAGTTTCAGACTTTGTATCGATTACAGAGGTCTTAACCGAGTCACTGTGAAGAACAGGTACCCACTCCCGAGGATTGATGAGTTGTTGGATCAGTTGAGGGGTGCTACTTGGTTCTCCAAGATTGACTTGGCATCGGGGTATCATCAGATCCCGATAGATGAGGCAGATGTCAGGAAGACTGCTTTCAGGACGCGTTATGGGCATTTTGAGTTTGTGGTTATGCCTTTCGGTTTGACTAACGCGCCGGCAGCCTTCATGAGATTGATGAACGACGTGTTCAGGGAGTATTTGGACGTGTTTGTCATCATTTTCATTGACGATATTCTGGTATACTCGAGGAGTCAGGAGGAGCATGCGACTCACTTGAGGTTGGTTCTGGAGAAGCTTCGGGAGCAGAAGCTTTTTGCTAAGTTGAGCAAGTGCAGTTTCTGGCAGCGAGAGATGGGATTTCTTGGCCACATTGTTTCTGCAGAGGGAGTTTCTGTGGATCCGGCTAAGATTGAGGCTATCAGAGATTGGCCTAGACCTAGTAGTGCCACCGAGATCAGGAGTTTTCTGGGTTTGGCAGGATACTACAGGAGGTTCGTCAAGGGGTTTGCTACCATGGCGCAGCCGATGACGAAGTTGACCGGGAAGGATGTCCCTTTTGTTTGGTCAGCTGAGTGTGAGGAGAGCTTTAGTCAGCTCAAGGAGATGTTGACTACTACACCAGTGTTGGCGTTACCCGAGCCAGGGAAGCCTTACATGGTGTATACAGATGCTTCAGGCATTGGTCTTGGTTGTGTGCTGATGCAGGAGGGCAGAGTGATAGCATATGCTTCGAGACAGTGGCAGGGCAGTGAGCGTAACCGTCCTACACATGACTTAGAGTTGGGAGCAGTGATCTTCGCGTTGAAGATTTGGAGGTCTTACTTGCTAGGTGAGACAGTACAGGTCTTCACGGATCACAAGAGTTTGCAGCATATCTTCACTCAGCCGATGATGAACGCGAGACAGACGCGCTGGGTTGAGTTCTTGGCGGATTATCAGGTGAGCATTAACTACCATCCGGGCAAGGCTAACCTAGTGGCGGACGCGTTGAGTAGACGGAGGTATGATTCCGCAGTTGAGCGAGATGTGGAGTCTCTAGTGGGCGAGGAAGTTTGTGCGAGAGATTGTGAGGCTGCATGGAGTGCCAGCTAGTATTGTGTCAGACCGTGATCCCAGATTCACTTCAGAGTTTTGGAGGGCGTTTCAGGCAGAGATGGGCACTAAGGTGCATTTGAGTACAGCTTATCATCCGCAGACAGATGGTCAGTCAGAGAGGACTATTCAGACTTTGGAGGATTTGCTGAGGATGTGTGTGTTGGATTGGGGTGGCCATTGGGCAGATCACCTGAGCTTAGTTGAGTTTGCATACAACAACAGCTTTCAGGCGAGTATTGGCATGGCTCCATTTGAGGCTTTGTATGGGAGGCCATGTAGGACACCCCTATGCTGGACCCAAGTGGGGGAGCGCAGCATGTATGGAGCTACTTATGTTCAGGAGACGACAGAGAAGGTTCGTGTTGTGAGGCTGAACATGAAGGAGGCTCAGGATAGGCAGAAGAGTTATGCAGATAGACGCAGACGAGAGCTTGAGTTTCAGGTGGGAGATAGAGTTTATCTCAAGATGGCTATGTTGAGGGGTCCTAACAGATCCATAGCAGAGAACAAGCTGAGTCCGCGTTTTATGGGTCCGTTTCCAGTAGTGGAGCGAGTTGGGCCATTGGCTTACAGGCTGGAGTTGCCTGAGATTATGAAAGCCTTTCACAAGGTTTTTCATGTGTCGATGCTGAGGAAGTGTCTTCACCCTACAGAGGAGTTAGTGGCTAGGATTCCAGAGGATCTTCAGCCAGATTTGACAGTGCCGGCAGTGCCTGTGAGGATTTTAGAGAGGAGGGAAAAGGTTCTGAGGAACAAGAGGATTCCCTTACTGAGGATTTTGTGGGATTGCAGTGGTTCTACAGAGGAGACTTGGGAGCCAGAGGCAAAGATGAAGTTGAAGTTCAGGAAGTGGTTCGACAAGCAGGTCGAGGAGTGAGCTTATTTCATCTTTGTAGCCTCAGTTGTTATTTTTGGCTTTGGTGTTATTGTATTTTCGTTTTCGTTGTAACGATATACATTTTTGGAGTTTTAATGAGATGCAGTTTTTCCTCATTTTGCCTTGTGTTGTGAAATGGTATTCGGATGTTACACATGTTTGACCAGTTTTGGTTGTGAGACGGTCTAATCTTATGGTTATAGACATTTTCCGGAATTTTTACTCTAAGGATTGCGATCCTGAATAACTCATCATGTTTTTGGAGACTTCGTTCTCTGGCAGACTCTCTGGGTGCAAGTAGGCCTCAGTTGAGTGTAGCTTATCTGGGTGCAAGTAGGCCTCAGTATAAGCAGTTTAGTTCATCTGGGTGCAAGTGGGCCTCAGTATGGACGTTTCGGGTTCGTCTGGGTGCAAGTGGGCCTCAGTGCGGACCGGTGTGGACTTGTCTGGGTGCAAGTGGGCCTCAGTACAAGTGGTTTGTGTGTTTGGATGATGAGTTAGGAGTGAAAATTTCTTGGAACGTGCTTATGACATAAGATTGACATTGTCTCGGGGATCAGGTGAGGATCTCCAGTGTTGCGGCCTTGCGAGGTCGGGTTTTGTGGTCTTTGTGACGTTTGCGTTGGGATTCGAGGACGAATCCAGTTTAGTGGGGGAGAGTTGTAACATCCATAAACCAAATAAAAATTGAATTTGTCGGTTCAATTTAAGTGAATTGGTTTGGGTCGGTTTAGTGGAGAAAGCCCTAAAATCAAGTTTAAAGAGTGCAGCCGTCTTCTCTTTGGAGAATTTTCGAGTTCAGGCTGCAGAGGAGAAAAGTGGAGTTTTTGGAGAGATTTTCGAGTTTTACTGTTCATCGGGTACTGTTCATACTGTTCACGGGTTACTGTTCATCGGGGGCACTGTTCATTTTCTTTTTCCTTCAGTTTCAATCATTGTCAAGGTGAGTGCATGACTGTGGGTCCGTGATTTGCTAGATTAGATTTGGTTTGTGGTTGTTCTTGATGAGTTTATGTTTTAATTGTTATTTTTATGATATTTTGGTTGTTTATGTGATGAATTGTGTGTTTGTGTGGTTTAATCTGGTTTAATTGAATTAATTGATTTAATTGGTTTATCTTGGTTTAATTGATTTGATTCTGGTTAATTGGTTAATTGAATTTAATGTTTTAATTAAATTAATTTATTTTCGGATTTAATTAATTAATAATTTAATTAATTAATTGATTTAAAATAATTATTTTAATTATTTTAAAATATGGAAAATTATTATTTAATTATGAGAATTATTTAATAATTGAGAAATTGAGTTTTAATTATTAAAAATTATTTAATAATTGGAAAATGGTATTTAATAATTATTGGAGTTTATAAATATTATTAAATATCTAGTAAATTGCGTAAATGGCTCGTAGGCAGAGTGATTGCCTCACTAAGTATTTATTAAATACTTACGCAACTCCATTCCAATGTGTTGCAGGTAAAAGATTTGTGTGATCGCGGAATCAAGGCTGAAGAGGGGGATGATAGGATGTTTACTGTTTTATTGTTTTGCATTATTTTGCTAGACTTGTTTAATTATTATTTGCTTCCGCTGAGCTGATTTATTTGTTATTGATATTTTATTTATTTAATTTATTTTAAAGACCTTCGCTAGAATTGATTATATTTATTTATAAAAAAAATGTTGGTTGTTTCAAAAACCGTTCTCGATGATGCTAAATAAGCTTAATGTAGAGAAACTAGTAGAGTACCGCACGTTTGTGCGGTGTGACGTTGTTGTTTTGTGTAGAAAATTTAAACCCTAAATCCGAACCCACAAAAAACCCTAATCAAAAAATTAAAAACCCAAACTTTTTTAATAGGTCTAAACATGAAAATCCGAAATAAAAAAAATCCCGAAAACCCTGACTGAACAAAAAAAATCTGGAAACTTTTTCACCCGGAACCCGACCCCAATACCTAATCAAAATTTTAAAATACTCAATTTTTTTAATATATCTAAACCCGAAAACCAGAAATCTAAAAAATCCGGAAAACCCTAAACTGAAAAAAAAAATTGAACCTAACCCGAACAGAAATTTTCAAAGAAACCCGAACAATTTCTATATCTCTATATATATCTCTATAAAATTATGTCTCAGATTTTCACCCAAACTCGAACTTGTCTATAAAAACCCGGTAATCCAAAAAGCATATTCTATTGATTTGGAATTATCGTTAGATTATGTTAAGTTTCTTTTTTACAGATTTTTAAGAGATGGAAAACGGAAGTTTTTTAAACCATCGGTTTATTTTAAGTTATTATTCTTGTATCCAAACAATTTTTTCCATTTATTCTTCTATCCAAATAGATTTTTCTCTTATTCTTATATCCAAATAACTTTTGTTACTATTTATTCTTCTGTCCAAATAAATGTTTCTCTAATTCTTGTATCCAAACATTAAAATGTACTTCGCAATTAATAATATAAAGATGAAGTTGATAAGTAGTAAATTATTATTATTAGGAATCCCAAACTTTTTAAATTGTTTATTACATTTTACATAATCAATTTTAGAATAATTTATTTTATTATACTATTAGTTAGTTATTTCAAATAAGTTTTTATTTATTTTAATTATTTCTACTGAGTTACTATTTAGTTATTCAGTTATTCAAATAATTTATCATATATCATATTCAACAAGATACAGCCGTTCGACCCAAAAAAAACACAAGATTCAGCCATTTCTATTTATCACTAACTAATTAGCCAATTTATGTAACAAATCATCATTTAATTATCTGAGATTCCATATTCAGCCAAAGATTAAACTGTTATTATTTACACCTTAAGTCACCACTACAATAAAACAGTATTCTTAACTCATTATAAGTGTTATTATTCGTGTTCAATAAAATTTACATAAACGATGTGACAGTCAAAACTAAAGGGGTGACCCATAACAGCGTTTTGTCATTATTTATATATATATATATATATATATATATATAAAGTTCATGTTCCTGTCTTCTGGTTGCTTCTAAATTCGCCACGTCAGCACCTTATTTAATTTATTATATTTTTTCTTTTTAATATTTATTATAATTGTAACATCCATAAACCAAAGAATTGTGATTTGTCTTTGGTGTCGATCGACACCAATGGTTAAAATCGATTTCTGGTTCAATTTAAATTCGGTTTAGCCCGGTTTGGGCTCAGAAAGCCCTAGAAATCGAATTAAAAACGAGCAGCCGTCAAGGGATGAACAATTTTGTCGTTTTGCGTGAGAGGAGAAGCTCTAGAGGCGATTTGAGGCGATTGGTGGAGTTTCCTGGTGAATCTGAGGCTCCTTGTTGCTACTCTTCGTTGTGTTCATCTCCTTTCCCTGTTTCTAGCCAAATCAAGATGACTGCATGACTAAACGTCCGCAACTGCTAGATTTGGTTTTATTGGTTGATTGTTCTTGAGTTGTTCATGTTGATTATGTATTATCTAGTGTTGTTTGGGTGTAATTCGTGTGGATCTGGTGTTTTATGTGATTTTCGTGCTGATTTGTTGAGGGAAGAATCGGCCTCTAGAACTAGTGTCGGTCGACACCAAGTTTGGTGTCGGTCGACACAAGTGGCTGGTGTCGACCGATACCAAGCGGGTGTCGCTCGACACTGACCGGTTCAGTCCGGTTCAATTGAAATTAAAATTGGTTTAAATTGATTTAATTTAATTGGTTAATCTGGTTATTTGGTTAATGAATATTTTAAATAATTAAATGGCTTAAAATAAATATGGAAAATTATTATTTAATTATGAGAATTATTTAATAATTGAGAATTGAAGTTTTAATTTTTAAAAATCATTTAATAATTGGAAAATGGAATTTAATAATTATTGGAGTTTATATAATTTTTTTAATGTCTAGTAAATTGCGTAAATGGCCTGTAGGCAGAGTGATTGCCTCACTAAGTATTTATTAAATACTTATGCAACTTCATTCCAATGTGTGCAGGTAAAAGGTTTATGTGATCGCGGAATCGAGGCTGAAGAGAGGAATGATAGGATGTTTACTGTTTTATTGTTTCATATCGTTTGACTTGCTAGTACCTGGTGTTTAGGTTGCTAATATTTCTTTTATTATTTATTTGAACTAGGTTTGAAACCCTGCGCAAGCGCGGGGTTGTTTACGATAGTTTTTTTGTTTAATTTTATTTATACTCGTTGATTTGAAATAACTATGAATTATTTGTTTTTTTATTTTAATTTATTAGGATATTAACACCCCGCTTTATCTCGAGTTTTCTATTTCTAAAATTTATCATGTTATAAATATTATGTTTGTTTACTTTTTGTTTTTACTTATATTAGACTGTAAACATGTATATGTATTTGAGTAAAGGTTAAAAATTATAAATATGTATATGCATTTGACTGAAGGTTAAAATTTGTAAACATATTCTTGTTTTTCACTACAACTAAATTTACATATAAAACTCCATTTCTATTTGTTTAGAAAAACAAACTCTAACTCTAATGTTTCATTAGCTTTCTATTATCTTAATTAATTTATATTCAACCTTTTTAACTTGTAAACACATTATAACATTTTTAAATACGATAAATCCTTTGAATAAAAAGGTAAATATATACTATTTGAAGTTAATTATTTCTTTACTCCACCTCTCTTTTCTATTTCAACTTTTTGATAACTTTTAACATCAAATTATCACATATTTTCTATTAATTAATTTATTTATTTGTATAATTTTATTAAATATGAATAAATGTAAAGAAATATGAATAATCATATATTTAATAAATAATTTAAATACAATTTAATGTTTTTGTGCTGATGTGGACACTCTATATAAGATTCATTTGTTGAACCTGGTTTATTATTTATTTAATTAAAGACTTATGCTGAATTGTTATTTAATTGATTAAAAAAAAGTTGGTTATTTCAATAATAATTAGCATTCATTACTATAATAAGTTAACAAGAATATGAAAAGTCATTTAAAAAAAATACTATGTATAGATCTACAAAAACTATTATTTAGTAAATTTATTTTTGTTGGATTATATAATTTACACTGTTGTCAAGATATTATATAAAGAAATCTGATTTTTTAAGTATTTTGGGATGAAATTAGACGAGACCGGACATGATGAGACAAAAAATAACATAACGAGAGAAATGGGATAAGACTGGACGAGACGAGACACACAAATTAGACATGACGAGATGCAAAAAACGGAATGAGACGGGATTTGACGGGACGGGATGAAAGGGACATAATGGGATGAGAAGGGACGGGACAGAAATTTCACTCACCCCTAATTATATTTAGGGATCAGACAGAGACAAGACAAAACAGAAAAAAAAAAATATAAGGGCGAATAGGACGGAACGGGACGGGGAAAGAACGGGACAAAATGAGAAAGAATGAAATGGAACGGGATGAGACTACGGGAATTTTGTCTATCCTTAGTTATATTTAGGAAACGGGACGAGAAGAAACGGAAGGAACATGATGGGACATAACAAAATGGAAAGGAACATAATGGGATAGGACGGGACGGGACAGGACAGACAGGACGGATGAGACGAGAAAGAACGGACATGATGAAAATGACGAAATGGGATACAATGGGACAAGACGGTACGTTAATTTTGCCTAATCCTAATTATTTTTAATTAATATGTGTAATATTTTTGAAACAATAATAAACAATAGAAATAAACTAAATTTGCGGAAAAACAATAAATTTAACACAATAATATAAATTCCCGCGCGAAGCGCGGTCACCTCCTAGTTCTATTATAATGTTGGTAAAATGCTATAATAGTGTACTATAACTAATTTTTCAGACTATGATCTAGTGTTTTGTAACTCTTTTTCTAGGAAATAAAATATAACACTTTTGAATCTTGTTTTGTAGCATATAATCAATTAGGCGTGTATTAGATATGTTAAAAAAAAAAGTTGTTTAAAATTTGGTTCAGAATACACCCAAAACAAGTATTATACAACTATTATACAAAACAAGTGTTACAAAACATCAAGTCTTATACTAGCATCTTGCCGCCAAGGGTTGGTTAAACTTTTCTATGTTGACCTCCACCTGAGGGTACCTCTGGCATATGTATGTCACCATACCTTTTAACTCTTTCTTGTTCAATGTTCCAGTCTTTCCCTTGTCCGCTGTACTGAAAATTGAACATATATCTTCCCGTTTGCTCAATAAGACCAAGGTAATAACATATTAAACTCATCATCGGATACAATAATGTTATATTAAACAACACGAATCATATAGATCATCATAAAAAATCTTATACCAGCTATAAAACTCTGAAAACTACTAAAGTATTATGTTTGTTCAAGTATGTTGGGAAAACCTGTGAAATGGGAAATGAGATAATAATGACTTATCTCTTGAGAGCACTAACTTGACCACAAGCACTGATATCAAGAGACCATGAATCTTCATCTCTTCTGGGCCTGGGACTAATATATTTGGGGTCCAACACAAAATTAAAAATGAGGGTCTTTTTTAAGCTTAAAAAAAGACCTCTAAAAACTTTTAGAAAAAAAAAATCCGAGGCCCATTCAAACTTTTGGGTTTAATTCAGTATTTTATTTTTAACAAAAATATGACACCATTTTAATAGGGTATATATTTATATCACATGCGACGTCGTTCTATTTCTTTAACATCTAGGTTATTCTCTGTGATATAAAAATCAGGAACTCTAAATTTTTCTCCGCAGTTTTCATTTCCGCCGTAAGAGAAAAAAATTAGCCACTTTTGATGGCATGGAAGAAGATATTCCAGTGAAAGTTTCACCTAAGGGTATGTTTTGTTCTTCTACATATAGATTTTGTTTTTGTTTTTTTATAAGAGTCACATACTCTAAATTTTTCTCTACAGTTTTCATTCAACCGTAAGACAAAAAAACTGAAAGGCACTTTTGATGGCATGGAAGAAGAGATCTAAAATCTGGCTAATAATTTACCAAAAGGTACGTTTTTATTAAGAATATATTATTAGATTTTTATTTTCATATAAGAGTGACAAAGTCTATTTTTTCTCCCAATTTTTCATATTTGTCGCAAGAGAAAAAAAATCAAAGGCTCTTTTGATGGCATGGAAGAAAAGATCTCAAATCCGGTTAACGATTCACCAAAGGTATGTTTTTATTAATAACAGATTCTTAGATTTTTATTTTTATTTGATTTCTTGTTAATTTTTCAAATACTTGTATAATATTTTATGTTCATGTTATAACTTCTTCGATTATCTCATCATTATCATATTATTCAGTATTTTTAGTTTTATTGTTCATTGATTGAGATTAGATATATAAAGTTTTAAATACGAAATAATTAAAATAGGTATGATGAAAAATATATTGTAAACATCTGTTCTATGGATATCTCCCTTAGTATTGGTAAATATGATTTTTCCAGATTTTGATTTTATTGATGATTCTTTCTCTTATTATATTTCTTCTTCTTATATATGCTAGAGGGTTGATCTATGTTTTACGCAAAATTTTGTATTCCTATTACCGTACATGGTTAGAAGAATTATTAATGGTCGATTGCATAGTTGCATTTAGAACACATTAGAACATTTTGATACTCGAATATGGGTTGGATGTCTATTCGTCTCACCTATATAATTTTTCTTTAAGTGTTTTACATTTTTCTGGCAAACCCCCATTCCCTTCTCTCCACCTAACATGATGTTTAGATCAAATTATGGCTCGGTTTAAACATGTTTTTCTTTCAACTCTCTCCCCCGCCGATATAAATTTTAATCTTCACTATCTTCCTCTTCTATTATTTTTTCTGTCCGTTCTAATTTTTTTCTCTCTAACCATGCCATTGTAACTTTTTTAGTACTGTTATAATCTATTTTTTAAAAGATGTTTATTTCGTACAACTCTCTCTTCCTTTCACATTTGCCAAAATTAGACGCAACCACATTTGCCTCCCATGATTATTTTTGAATTTCATATTATAAAAAGTCAACTACGTAATTTACTTCTATATAAGCTCATTTTTAAAAGCAAAATGGTTTGTGGAATACTGTATAATTGACATTTTTTTCGTTCTATTGTTCTATAAAAGTAACAGAAAATTATGGTATACATAAATTATTTTTGGTGAAACAATAATATCTTATAAAATTTTACCTCAAACTATTATATTAATATTTGGTAATTATTGAGAGAATTAAAGTATAATAATAGAGAACATAATAGATCAGATAAATAATCTAAAATTAATAAATAAAGTGATATTGTGTCAAATTCTTAAGCACCCATGTGATGAGGTGGCATCATGAGAAGAGACTCCATTTTACTTTATATGTATAATATTATAAATGGACAGATTTTCTATGTTAGATGACTCTCATCGCGATGTCCGGGTTAAATGTTACTTAAATTTTCAAGTATTTTATAAATTAGAAAAACATGTTTCATGACTAAGATTGCTAATGGTGTTTGAAAAAAAATTGATTCGTTTGAGGTCGTAATTGATAATGTTGGGAATTTAAGTGTTAAAGGGTATATTACCAACCAATGAAACATTTTGTTTATTATTAAACATACAGTTGCAAACGTGCACTGAACCTTATGATAGTAAGAAAACAAAGAGAAAGATCAGATTCACAAAAGAAAAACAAAAGTTAAACTGATAACCGACGGCGATTCCCTTCCTGAAATCGAAGCTCCATACTTTTCTCGAAGCCCCTTAGCGTTCGATGTCTCTGTTAAAACTTTTGTCAGTACTCTTGGCACCGACAAATCCTCTTCACTATTTCTGTCTCGACCGTTCTTTTCTCTGATTGCCACATTAATGAGATTTGCGGAGTTCTTGAGGACCAACATCCCGTTTCTCTAAAACCAAAAAAAAACATCCCGTTTCTCGCCTTCACCCTGCCGAAATTGGCAACATATGCACCAGATTTTTCTCACCTCATGTGAATCTCATGATGGCTTTGCAGACTCCTCCTCATAAGATTTTGGATCCGTCGGACTCATGGTCTACTTCTCAATCTTTGGCTTGTCTCTTGCTTGAAGTCCCTTTATCCTCCTCTTACACTCTGCCTCCAGCCAGTTTCTTCGATTCTCCACCGCTCCTTTCGTCCAAAGTTGCTCCAAATCGAGACTCTATCAGCCTGCTATGCCCTAAGTCTTTCTGAAGAAGATTTTCACCTCTGTTAAATAGCCATTCTTTGGGATGTTTAGATATGAAAGTGCTTATGCTTGTATGCATTTGGAATCTTATCAACTGTGTTGACTCATGACTTTGTTACTGACTTATCTTTTTGGATCCAGAAGCAATGAGTTGCTTTTGTAGTGACGTGCTCTAAGTTATCACTTTACTCATCCTGAGGCGATAATTTCAACAAAATTAAAATTGTCACTGAGTTCTTCATACTCAGGTATTTCTCGTTCTTTTTCTCTTGATCTCCCTCTCTCTCTCGACTGCATGTTTATGTATGTGATTTTAATCGACCAGCAACCCTAGGTTTTGAGATATAATTTGAAATTTGTTTCATTTCATTGTTTTTGAAACATTAGGGTTAGGATTTCTCGTGATGGACGGTTGTGATAGAATCAGTAATTTTTCAGAATTTTTGCTAACTCTGTTCCTGTCGCACCTTCTGACCAAAGATTCCGTTAAGACAAGCGAATGAGATGGGAATCTGTCTGGCTTAGAGTTCCTGGAATTGGATTAACGCTTAATGAATCCCCCAACGGCCAAGCCTTGGAGAGCTTCGTCCACAAATTTATGGAGTTTAACAAAGACGCGTGAATGCAATATTTTAAGATACAATCCAAGAAAGACAATGGTGATCGACTCATGGAGTTGATTGATACAACAGTTTTTCGTGGAGTACAGAATTTTGATGTCGAGAGAAAAAAACGCCTATTAACTGAGAACGTTTACATGAGCAACATATTGGTCTCTTTAATGCTCGAATGCGGACGCTTGGAGACTTTCACGTGTACTGTGTCATTACCTCGTCTCAAGATCCTGTATCTTGAAGACATTTGTATGATTATGATCCTTCCATCGTAGTGAAGATCATTGAAGGCTCTCCTGCTCTTGCGAAGCTTTTGGTGATTAGTCCCAGTCTTATACTTGTGTACTTTACAAATTAGGTGTTGAGAAGGATCTCCGCGTGCAGTCTAAGACTCTAAAAATATTTCGTCTCGTGCTTGAGAAAACTCGGGGTGCTAAAAATTCTTCTATTGAGATTGATGCTCCAAGATTCGTGTATATGAGTCTTAGAGATCACCAATCTGTTAGGATTTTGGTGAAGAAATTGAGCTCCTTGTTCATGGTCGAGATTGATAGTACACCTACAGTCAGTTCCAGTCCTTTTGAACCATTGTTTTCAAGGAACAAAGATGCTATGAGTAATTTGTTTCGTGGGTATGTCTGGTGTATGACATATGATCATTGCTCATTCTACTCTTGAGGTAAATTACATTCTCTTTTGATGTATATAAAACAACTATATGTAGTTTAATCAATCCTCTATGATGATTTAATTAATTCATTTCCTTCCTCTTGTACGTCCTCCACCTTATTCGGATTTCGTAAAGATTCTCAAATTCAACAAGTTGTATCGTTTGCATGCTGAGTTCTCTTCCTACAAGAGGAAATAAAACCCAAATGAAGGAAGAGAACTCAGCATGCAAACGATACAAACTTGTTGAATTTGGGAATCTTTACGGAATCTGAATATAGGTAGAGCACTTACAAAAGAAAATAAATGAATTCATCAAATCATTAGAGGATTAATTAAACTACATTTAGTTGTTTTATATACATCAAAAGAGTGTAATTTATTTCAAGAGTAGAATGAGCGATGATCATATGTCATACAACAGAAATACCCACGTAAAAATCACTGATAGCATCTTTCTTTCTTGAAGACACCGGTTCGAAAGGATTGGAACTGACATTAAATGTACTATCAATCTCGACTATGAACAAGGAGCTCAAGTTCTTCACCAAAATTCTATCAGATTGGTGATCTCTAAGACTCGTATACACGAGTCTTGGAGCATCAATCTCAACAGAAGAATTTTTACCACCCCGAGTTTTCCCAAGCACGAGACGAAATATTTTTAGAGTCTTAGACCGCATGCGGAGATCCTTCTCAACAGCTACTTTGGAAAGTTCAACAAGTATAGGACTGGGACTATTCACAGAAAGCTCCTTGAGAGCAGGAGAGCCTTCAATGATCTTCTCTACGATGAAAGGATCATAATCATACCATATGTCTTCAAGCTTGAGACGAGGGAGTGACACAGTACAAGTAAAAGTGTCGAGTCCTCCGCATTCGAGCATTAAAGAGACCAATGTGTTGCTCCTGTACACGTTCTCAATTAAATTAAGTGTCTTTTTGTACCAACATCAAAATGATGTAGTCCACGAGCAACTGCTGTATCAATCCACTCCACGAGTCATCACCATTGCATTTCTTGGATTATATATTGCATTTGAGCCTTTGTTAAACTCCAGAAATTTGTTGACGAAGCTCTCCAAGGCTTGGCCGTCGGGGAAATCATTAAGCGTTAATTCAAGTCCAGGAACTCGAAGGCAGACAGATCCCCATCTCTTCAACAAACTGCTTGTCTTAATGGAATCTTTGGTCGAAGGTGCGACACGATCTGAGTTAGCCAAAATTCTGGAAAATCGCTTATTTATCCCAAACTTCCATCACGAGAAAACTAACCATAATGTTTCAAAAACAATGAAATGTGACAAGTTTCAAATTTGATCTCAAAACCTAGGGTTGCTGGTCGATTAAAATCACATACATAAACATGCAATCGAGACAGAGAGGGAGATCGAGAGAAAGAGAACGAGAGATACCTAACTGATGATAGGATTTTGTAGTGATGTGATGAAATGATGTAAATGATATGAGGTGGAATGCAAACAGGGGTGAATAAAGATGAGATGGTATGGTGCAATCACAATCAATCAATTCCTCTTAACCATCATAGTCGTGTAGTATAAGAGGTTATCAATCCATAAGGGTCTATGAGAATATGCAAACACAAGAAAGTCAAGCAACAGTAAAGGTGGATGTACTAACAACCTAATGAAATGAAATGCAAGGGAAAAGCAGTAAATAAAAGCAGCTCGACCAAGGCTCGATCGAGTAGAACAGAGTAACCGAGCTCGATCGAGTTGAGGGTCGAGTTGAAGTAAAAACAGAGGAAATGCAATAAAGCGATAAAGGTGCAAACTTTAACTACTAATACGAAGGTTAGGGTCTAAGACAGGGTTGCAACTAGGGGAAGGCTATACTTAATCAATCTTGCTCTTAACCACTTGTATCAAGCTATCTCTTGATATTGAGCTTCTCAATGCCTAGCTAACCCTTTCCCAAGGTGAAAGCTATCACCAAGGAAGATCTCAGAAACAGGGGGTTAGCCAGTGAGAATCAAGCCTTGGAGGCATAGGATCATTGCTCAAACTAATCCATCCAACCCTATAAACTCCATTTCGAGAGCAAGATATTGGAGCTCTTAGTGGACCTTTTCCAAGCGATTTCCATCATTCCATGAGGAAAATCGCCTAGACTCATACAAGCCAGGGGTAGTGGTCATGTAGCCTTAAGTTTGTCCAAAAGAGAGAGATTTTAGATTAAGAACATAAGCAAGAGAGATTAAGCATAAGAATCCTCTAATCTAGCCCATCTTAAACCCTAAGGAACTACTCACTACACATGAAAAACACAAGCAAATGCAATGAAAGAGACATCATAAAAAGAGGAGATGAAATAAACAACTTTTATTGAAATAAGCAAGTGCAAATACAAAGATAGAGCCAGATCTAAGGATTCAAGAAGCAAGAGCTTCAAGAACACAAAGAGAGGCTTAAAAGTAAATACAATAATTAAAAAGAGCTAAAACAAAAGTAATAAAGTGGTTTTTTTTCGTGGCTACAAGCCTTTAAATACAAGAGGATTAGGTTTAGGGTCAAAGGGAAGTCAAGGGGGAAGCAACATTTTTCGGGTTTGACTTGACTCCAGCTCGATCGAGTTGAAGCTTGGCCGGTCGAGTTGACTCGAGTAGATGGTCGAGCTGGTCTTCAAGATGGCTTCCTCTTCCTTTGCATCCAGTTGAGCTGCGTCCATGCACCAAGTCCTTCCTTGCTCCTCACGTCCCATATGCTCCAGAATGCTCCAAAAGACCTATTTCAAAGGACCAAACATGCATATGTATGCAAATGCAACCTAAAACTACATGAATGCATAAGAAGAGAAAAGGAACAAGATATGATGCTAATGGATGCTAAAACTATGCAAAAGATGCATAAAAGATGTACTAAAACTATGCAAAATGCAAGTACATCAACACCCCCAAACTTGACTTTGCTTGCCCTCAAGCAAACAAATAGAACAAGAAAGAGATGAGGTTTGAAAACAAGTTGATTCAACACTTAAAAACATGTCCTCAAAAGCGATTTGCTAAATGTCCAACTTAGAGATTCTAGAATGCAACAAGGTGAGAGATATTCATTAAGATTTAACCATGCTTATCAACATCAATCCCACTTCACAGTCACTCAAACAATGCATTCAAATCAGCAAATCCCTTTAACATTCATTAAGCAAAAACAGTGAACCAAAAACATGCAAGATCAATCAACTCATTTGGTTTCAAGGGTTTATGGGTTAAGAGACAAAGAGGGTCTCTTTTGTATGGTGGTTTAGTAACAGGGATCTCTCAAGAAAGTGGCTTTGCTTTGGCAGAAGGCTAAGTGTTAGAACCAAAGATGATGCAAGAACAGCAGCTCGAGCCTAATCCTAACTCGATCGAGTTCAACACTTAGAGCTTTTTAGAACAAAATCCTAACTACCCTTTTTGGCATTTCGCCTTTGAAACTGAGGAGCTTTGCTCACTTTTCTTTTAAGAACTTCCTAGGGAGAGGCTTCTTGAGGTAACATCTAGCGGTTTGGGATTTTCTAAACACTTAGGGAACTTTTCTTTCTTTTTGACACTTGAGGCTTTGCCTTCTTTTCTTTCTACTTAGAACCCTTTTTACTTTCTTTTTTAACTTCCCAAACCTTTACTAGACCCTTTTTAAACACTGCCAACTCCCTGGACTTAACTAAACTCTTTTTCCTTTGGATTTTCCCAACTTTTACCACTTTTCTGGTTTTTACACCCAACTCGATCGAGCTCGAGTTGGCACCCCCAAACTTAGCCTGAAAACAATCCCAAGAGAACTAGACAACTAGAACTACTGCCCCTGCCGGTTTAAACACAACACCTTATGCTAAGCAAAGCCAAGAAAGGTTCTCACAATTCGCACAAGAGATAATATGGGGTTTGAAATGAAAAAGGCTTAGGTTTAAGGTGTGGTAACTGTCTCAAAGATGGAGATCAGCTATCTGGACAAGCAAGAGGGATATGAAATAGGTAAAGAATGTCCAGATATGTATGTGGTAGCCATGAGTTGAAATCAAATGCAAGCATTGGTAATTAAAGATCAAGTTATGGTTCAAATAGATAGGGAAATGCATCAAATCACAGCAATGGTTGAATGAGATGTGCATGCAGTGATATGATCAAGATAAACATGGTTCTTGCTGCTCAATCAATCTCACCCTAATGCACAAAAGAATCTAAAAACAGGGCACTCAAGAAATCGCAAAAGATGAACAAGTTTTCAAAGTCAAATCAACAATGCAAGTAAAAATGAATGATGCAATCCTAAACAAGTCTAACAAATATGAATGCAAAAAGATGAAAATATTTTTGGATTTTTTGAAAATTTTATGATTTTTTTGGTTTTTCTATGCAAAAGATGAATGAAAAACTAAGAACAAAGAAAACAAGGTTAAATCATCTCTTGAACCCTCCCCCAAACTTAAATCACACAGTCCCTTGTGTGAAGAAATTTAGTGAAAGATTCAAGAGGGCAAAACCAAGAAAAAAAAAGAAAAATGCAAGAAAATGAAATGGTATATACAAGGGTTTGTTTGATACCTCAGTGCCCCCAAAGAACTGGGAAGCAAGGTCGTGGTGGAGAGGCAGGCGACCATCAGGAGCTCCAAGGAACAATCTCTGAGCAGCTCGATCGAGTTCACTCTCTCTTGGGCTCAATCGAGTGTGCCTCGAGTTAATGGTGTTTCTCCCTAGAAACCTGTTCCTGCAAGACTTAGCCAAGAAAATCACAGAGATAAAAGAGCAATATGTACAAGATAGCATGGGAATTCCTCCCAAGTGAGCTTGTTTTAGGTCTCATAGCTTGACCTTTGACCTTTTTAGGCAGGAGCGGGGTCATGAAGAGGAGTTATGATCTTCATCTCATTGGTCTCCCAAGTAAGGCTTGCATCTGTGGCATTCACTGTGAACTCTTTCCCTTCCTTGTTGAGCAAAGTGAGAGACCCATAAGGTAGAACTTCTGAACCTTGAATGGTCCTGCCATTTTGATCTTAGCTTTCCAGGGAAAGTCTCAATTTTGGAGTTAACAAAAGAGCACACTATCCCCAGCCTTGAAGTCCTTAAGGCGAATCAGTTTGTCATGGGCTGCCTTGGTCCTTTCTTTATAGATCTGGAGTTCTCATAGGCATTCATTCTGATTTCCTCCAACTCGTGCAAGTTCATGACTCTTTCTCTTGTGCTGATTTATATCAAAGTTGAGCATCTTTACTGCCCATAACGCCTTGTATTCACCTCCACAGGCAAGTGGCAAGCTTTTCCATACAATAGGTTGAAGATCCAATGGGTTTTGTAAGCTGTTATAAGCCCAAAGTGCCTCATCAAGCCTTGTTGACCAATCCTTCCTAGTGAAGCTCACGTCTTCTCAAGGATGGCCTTTATCTGTCTGTTGGAGACCTCAACTTGCCCACTAGTTTGAGGATGGTAGGGCGTGGCTACCTTGTGCTTGACTCCATAGTTCTTCATCAACTTTTCAAACACCTTGTTGATGAAATGGGAACCTCCATCTGAGATCACAACTCTTGGGATGCCATATCTTGGAAAGATAATGGTTCTGAAAAGCTTGATAACAACCTTGGCATCACAAGCTGGGCAAGAATGGCTTCTATCCATTTGGACATAGTCCACAGCCACCAAAATGTAAGTTGTCCCATTTGAAAGGCTTGAAAGGTCCCATGAAGTCTATTCCCCATACATCAAAGAATCTCAACTTCAAAATTGGGTTTAGTGGCATCTCGTCTCTCTTGGTGATCCCTCCTTTTCTTTGGCATGGATCACACTTAGCGATGAAGCTTGCTGCATCCTTGAACAAAGTAGGCCACCATAGTTCCAGCTTGTAAGACCTTAGTCGCGGTTTTGAATGTGGCAAAGTGACCTCCATAAGCAGACCCATGGCAATGCTCTAGAACTCCTTGTACATCTTCTTCAGCTATGCATCTTCTGTAAATGCTATTTGGTCCTCTCTTGTACAAGTAAGGCTCATCCCAATAGTAGTGCCTAACATCTTGAAGAACTTCTTCCTCTTGTAAGCATCAAAGTCATTGGGAACCTCTCCAGCACCATGAAGTTCACTATATCAGCATACCAAGGTAGGTTTTCGTCTCGCAGAGCCTTAACTTCTTCTAGCCTGACCTTCTCATCAAAACCTTCTTTCAAAACCATGATTGCCATAAGCTGTTCTTCAGGCATAGAGTCATTGATGGGGACTATGTCTTCAACTCGCATCCTAGATAGGTGATCAGCAACTCCATTTTCCACTCCCTTTTTGTCTACAACAAACTCCTGAAGCAAAGAATCCATCTGAGAAGCATGGTTTTGTATCTTTCTTAGCAAAGATGTGCCTAAGAGCAGCATGATCTGTGTGGACAATCACTTTTGATCCAACCAAGTAACTTCAAAATTTCTCAAAGGCAAAGCCTACAGTAAGGAGCTCCTTCTCTGTGGTTGCATACTTGCATTGAGCATCATCCATGGTTCTGCTTGCATAATAGATGACATTGAGCTTCTTGTCTATCTTTTGGCCAAGCACAGCTCCTACTGCATAGTCAGACATCACACATAATCTCGAATGGTGATCCCAGTTTGGAGCTTGAACAATTCGGGGCTGAAACCAGAGCATCCTTCAGCAAGGTCCAAGACTTATGGCATTCTTCATCAAACTCAAAATCCACTTCCTTGCATAGAAGTCTTGTCAATGGTCTTGCTATCTTGGAGAAATCCTTGATGAATCTTCTGTAAAACCTGCATGACCCAGAAAGCTCATGATGTCCTTCACAGTCTTAGGCACAGGAAGCTGCAACATCGTCCACCTTAGCTCGATCGAGCTCGATCCCCTTCTCAGAAATTTTGTGTCCAAGAACAATTCCCTTCTTGCACCATGAAGTGGCACTTCTCCCAGTTGAGTACCAGATTTGTCTCCTCACACCTCTGCAAGACCCTGCACAAGTTTGACAAACATGAGGAGAAGGATGCTCCATAGACTGAGAAATCGTCCATGAAGACTTCTACCATCTCCTCTATCAGATCTGCAAAAAAATGGAAGTCATGCATCTCTGGAATGTAGTTGGGGCATTGCACAGCCCAAATGGCATCCTTCGATAGCAAAGGTACCATAAGGGCATGTGAAAGTGGTCTTCTGATGATCGTTGGGATGGATCGGGATTTGGAAGAAACCACTATAACCATCAAGAAAACAATAGAAGGGATGGTTTGCCAATCTTTCAAGCATCTGATCAATGAAAGGAAGAGGGAAATGATCCTTTCTAGATGCAGAATTTAACTTCCTATAGTCTATACACATGCGATGCCCCACTATTGTTCTAGTGGGGATCAGCTCCTCTTTGTCATTCTTTATGACAGTGATTCCTCCCTTCTTTGGGACGCAGTGAACTGGAGATATCCAAGTGCTATCACTGATGGGATAAATGATCCCAGCATCAAGCAACTTAAGTATCTCTTTCTTCACTACTTCCTTTAGATTTGGGTTCAATCTCCTTTGAGGTTCAATGCTAGACTTACTTTCATCCTCTAAATGAATCCTATGAATGCATAAATCAGGAGAGATTCGCTTTATATCATCAAGAGTGTAGCCAATGACTTTCCTGTACTTTCTCAATTCAACAAGCAATGCATCCAATTGTTCAGTTTTTAGCTCAGAGTTCACAATGACAGGTGAAAACAGGGTTTTTCACAGATTCAAACTCCTTTATCCCTGCTCACTGCCAGAACTTCACAAAGAGGCTCGCCTAACTCCTCAATGCAAAAGATGTTCGGAACCGGTCTGAAAGTGTCAAGGAGCCTAGAATACTCCTCAGTTTCTGAATGCAGATACCCTTCAGATTGATCCTTGGTGAGAGCAACTTGCAAGTGGTCTTCCAAAGACACTTCCTCCAAAAGTTCATCCGCCAACTGATCCATTTCTTCATTGTAAAAGAGTTGACCTTGTATTGTTGGCTTCCTCATTGTATCCTTGATGTCAAACTTCATCTTTAGGTCTTGTCCAAGGTTCAGTTCTATTGTACCTTCACAGACATCTAGCATTGCTCTTGCTGTAGCTAAGAAAGGTCTCCCTAGTATCAAAGGGTCTGTTGGTTCTTCATCCATTTCAAGCACAATGAAGTTAGTGGGGATTTCAACATTCCCTATCCTCAAAGGTTGATCTTCAAGCATCCCACTAGGCAGCCTTATTGATCTATCCGCACAAACAAGTGAGACACTAGACTCCACTTACACAATGCATTCAAATAACTCTCATCCCTTAACATTCAATTATCTCAGAATCGTGAATCAGTCACTTATGCATTTCAAAGACTTGTTTGGGTCAAAGGGTAGGTTTCAAGAGACAAAGATGGTCCCATTTTCTCTGGTTTTAAAATTCGGTACAAGGGATCTCTCAAAGAAGAAAGGTTGAGCTTTAGTAGAATGCTAACGGTAAAAACGAAGGATGATACAAGGCTAGACTCCCATCTACCCAAGAACAATGAAGTGCTATCCCCTGTTTCCCATGAATCCTATCTACCTGAACAGGCAAAACTCGCCTTGACCTTTTTAAGGAAATTCCTTTCTCTTTTCGTTGCTTTCAAGCCCTTAGGAGGGGTTTCTAAACTTCATATAGCGGTTTGGGTCTTCTTTCACTTTTGGCTCTTAAACTCTTTTTCTAGACTTGGCTTTCCCCCTTTTTCTTTTCTTTTTATTGCTAGAGATTTTTACTTTTTCCCCCAAACCTTTACTAGAGACTCAAACTTTCACAACTCTTCCCCCCAAAGAGACTCGGCTTTTACTTTCCCTTTTTGCGGGATTTCTTTTTGAACTCTCTTCTTCCCCCTTTTTCCTCTTTAAGAACTTCCCAACACCCCAAACTTAGTCCTAACTAGCTCAAGAAGACGAGCTAGAATCTATATGAGAACCTAGACCTTGTCTGTAAAAACCCAACACCTTCTACCAAGCTCAACCGTAGAGGCCTCACACACTCAGAAAAATCGAATTGGTTTCAAAGAAAGGTTGGTAAAGGGTGAGGAGATCTACTTGGATCAACAAGAGTGGTGAAAAGGGGTGAAGGGAGATCCAAGTATGCATATGTATCCACGAGTTCTTAGCAAATGCACAAGGATGATATTTAAACATTCAAATTCAGGGATCGATAGGCTGGATGAGAGATCATATCACAACAATGCTTCAGCCAAATCTAGATGTCAAAGAGTGCATTCAAAGTGTGGTTCTTTCTTAACTTCAAGCTCGCTCTATATGCACAAGATGATTCAAAACCGGATCATTGAAACCATTTCGAAAAATCACAACCTCTTATTTCTCATTTTCCTCAATGCAAATGAAATGAGATGCATCTAGACTCAATCCTAAAATGTAAATGCACATGATGCTTTTCTTTTTGGTGGAATGCAATTTTCGAATTTTTTTTCAATTTTTTTGGTTTTTCTATGCCTTGCATGCGAATGCAAACTATATGAGACTCAAGGATGAAAATTGAAAATAAGAATCACAAGAAACAAGATAAAATGCTATGGACCTCTCCCCCAAACTTAAAATGCACAGTTTCTTGTGCATATAAGGGTATGAAGAAGAGATCCATCAAAGAGATGCAAAAACAGAGATGAAAAGAAAAAAATGAGTGGTATTTACAATGAGTTGAGTCTTACCTTTCATGGACTTGGGGAGGGTGGTGTGGGAACGTCATGGAGGTCTATTGGATCGGTGGAAAACGTTGGAGGTGGTGATGCGCCGGTTTTCCTTTTGCGCTTGCTTCTCCTCATTGCAGGCTCCGCGGTCTTGGTTGCCTTTGGCGATGTGCACGAGAGTTTGTCCTTCAGGGCATTCACTGTCTCGGTGAGCTTCTTAATCATCTCGTCCTGTTTCTTGCACCACCTTTGAAGCATCCCAATGAGCTCATGTGCTTTGGTGATGGCCGGAGTGCTTCCACTTGCGTTGTAAGGGGTGAAGTCAAATTTACCAAACTCGCTTGCTCGTCTCTCCGAAGGCTCGCCTTCCTCTTGCCCTTGCTCTTCGTTGACTGTGGCATCACCTCCATCCATGAACAACTGATCGGCTGTGGGGAGGAACAAGATTCCTTCTCGGCTTTTGTTGCTCGTGAGCTCGACGTTTGGTAAGAGGACTTTCGAGATGCCAAAGGTAAGATGCTCAAAGCAATAGATGTGCTTCCCGTTGTGCATCCCCCTCACGAACCAAGTCTTGTTGAGGTAGGCGATATCCATGAACGTGGGTGGATGACTTGACTGTGGTAACTTGACTTTGGTTGCGAGCAGAATCGGAGTGATCAAGCTTCCAATATCCAAGTGTGCCTCCTTGATCTTGCCTTGTTCATAGGAGAGCTCCGCGTTCCTCATTATTTGCTTGAAGGAATTGATCATCACAACAGCTTTGCTCGTGTGCTTCAAGTCTCCTTGCATCTCTTCCCCGTTGTCCAGAGTTTCAAGCTTCTGGATTATGCCGGTGTCAAGCAGCTCAAGCTCTTGCTTGGTGACGTTTGCACACTCGTGTCTTGCGAAGAGAGTGTGATCGATCGCCTTATGAGCGTAGCGGATGGCCGGGTTCTTGATGTGACTGCTCTTGTTCTTGGAGATTTGATAGGGTCTCAAACTTATCACTCCCCAAAGGCTAACTAGCTCTGTTCCTGGCACACACATGCTGAACCGATACTCTTGTCCCAAGAGCGTGAAGGTAATGAATCCAATTCCATCTCTCTTGAGCTCAGCAGCTGCTTCTTGAGGATGTTTAGTGAGCTTCAAGGATGCAAGGAACTGTATCGCTGGTTCTCTGTACGCCGGTAGAGCCATCTTCATGAACTCGCCAAGCTCGGTGTAGTAGAAAATGTCCTCCACATCTTCCTCTATTCCCAATGCCCTTATGGTTTCTGGATGTGGATAGCGCATTGACATGAACTACATCCTCCACAAGATACGGATGCGCTCTTGGACTCCATAAGGTCTTGGGATCACCGAGTCGTCCATGTTCTGCTCAGCAGCCTCTGACCATTTCGGAGCGATTCTTTGCTTGCTCCTTTCTTCCTTTTTCCGCTATACTCCACTTTCTTCTTCCCCTCACGTTTTTCCTTTCTTGCTGTCTCCACATCTTCGTTTTGTGCTGGCCTCTTTGTGAATTTAGTCTTTGCCATTGTACCTAAGAGATAAACAATTCTCACAACACAATTAGCCTCTGTTTTGAGAACAGCCAACAAGCAAGAAATCTCAACAAAACTTCTCAATTTAAACCAATTTCGATTTGTGCGAGCTCAGAACAAGCTCAAAACCTTTACACTCCACCGCTACAAGTTCATGTATCAGGAAATTTTAAAAACATGCTGTGAATTCCGGGAGTTTGAACTAGATTAGCTCAAGAACACTTAGAATTTTAAATCTCAGAATTCACTTCAATAGCACGAAATTTCCTACATGCAAGCTCGAATTCGATCTACCCTAGTAACAAATAAGCCGGATCTACCCATGAATGGGAACAAACAAGTTTCTCCAGTGAAATCCCAAAAAGGAAAAATCACAAGAGAGAGGGTGATATTGAGGATCAAATACCTTGATTGGACTATCGGACTTAGATGAATCGAGCTAAACTTGGGCGAGCGGCGGATTTAAAGAGTTTTGAGCTTCGAAATTCGAAATTTGGTTGAGAAACAGAGAAATCCGAGATTTTTGTGTAGAGAATCGGGAAAAAGCTTCTGAAGAAGAAGAAACCCAAATTTAAAATAAAAGGGAGAAAGGGTTTCTTCGGGTTTTAAAAATTTAAAAAGGAAACGGGTCACTTACTGACGCGGGTTGTCAATCGGATCTTTAAACCGATTAGGAACCTGATTGACAACCCGAATGCTTTAGAATTTCACCCGGTTTAGCTGAGAGTAGAGGCAAAGGAGTTTTTGATTTGGGCAGTTGTTCTTTGTGCACGAGGACAAGCAATGTCCCTGATAGAACTGCCCATTTCCAACTCTATGTACTTCTTCAACCGGTGACTGTAACCATAAACTCCACTCCGTTTTGGTTCACTAAAGTGATGTCTCCATAAGGCAGCACCTCCTTGACCTTGAATGGTCCTGACCAGCGAGACTTCAGTTTCCCAGGGAATAGTTTAAGCCTAGAATTGTAAAGGAGCACATCATCCCCTGCCTTGAACACCTTAGGCACGATTCTTTTGTCATGGAAGGCTTTAGTTCTCTCCTTGTATATTCTCAAACTTTCATAAGCATCCAAGCGAATCTCCTCTAGCTCGTGGAAGTCCATTTCCCTCTTTTCCTGAGCTCTCTTTGTATACTCTCCTTGTATACTCTCATCTCCTTGTATACTCTCAGCTCTCTTCTTGCTCCAACCTACAAAACACACTAGATAAAAGTAAAAAAATTAGAAAGAAAAAGAGCAAGACTTTTTACAGAAGGATAGTCATTGGACTTTCTCCCAAGTGAGCTTGTTTTGAGTCCATAGCTTGACTTTCATTCCCTTTTTAGGCTTGGGGTGGGTCATGGAGACGGATTGAGCTTCCCTCTCCAATGCTTTGACTCCCATGTACTTCTTCAACCGGTGACCGTTAACCGTGAACTCACTCCATTGTTGTTCACTAAAGTGATGGCTCCATAAGGCAACACCTCCTTGACCTTGAATGGTCCTGACCAGCGACACTTCAGCTTCCCAGGGAATAGCTTGAGCCTTGAGTTGTAAGGAGCACATCATCCCTCTTTGAAAACCTTAGTGATTCTCTTGTCATGGAAGGCCTTAGTTCTCTCCTTGTATATTCTCGAACTCTAAGCATCCAAGCGAATCTCCTCTAGTTCGTGGAGTCCATTTCCCGCTTCCTGAGCTGTACTTAGCTCCTTGTTAGGATACTTGATTGCCCATCTAGCTCTATATTCCAACTCAAGGGGCAAATGGCAAGACTTTCCCATAGATCAAAGAGTATGGAGATCTCCCAATTGGCGTCTTGTAAGCAGTTCTATAAGCCCACAAAGCATCATCCAATTTCTCTGACCAGTCCTTCCTTGATGAGTTCACTGTCTTGTGGAGTATGGCCTTGATTTGCTTGTTAGAGACCTCCACTTGACCACTAGTTTGAGGGTGGTATGGTGTAGCTATCTTGTGCTTTACACCATATTTCTTCAAAAGGTTCTCAAACACCTTGTTCACAAAGTGAGTTCCTCCATCACTGATCACACATCTTGGGACCCCAAACCTTGGGAAAATGATAGTCTTGAACAACTTGAGGACTACTTTGGCATCGTTGGTGGGTGCGGCTATGGCTTCAACCCATTTTGAGACATAGTCGATGGCGACAAGTATGTAAACGTTGCCATGAGAGGCAGGGTTAAATGGGCCAACAAAATCTATTCCCCACACGTCAAATACCTCAACTTCCAGGATAGGATTCTGAGGCATCTCGTTCCTCGCCATGATGTTCCCTGCCTTTTGACAGGCCTCACACTTAGAGATGAAAGCATGAGAATCTTTGAACATACTCGGCCACCAAAAGCCTGCTTGTAACACCTTCTGGACCGTTTTAAAAACCGCAAAGTGGCCTCCATAACTTGACCCGTGGCAATGGAACAAAATTCCCTCAGTCTCTTCTTTAGCCACACATCTTCTGAACAAGCTGTCGTTTCCTTTTCTGAACAAATAGGGCTCATCCCAATAGTAGTGAACCACATCTTTGAAGAACTTCTTTCTCTGGTACCCACTCCATCCACTTGGAACTTCTCTGCACACCAAGTAGTTTACAAAGTCTGCGTACCACGGAAG